CCTTCCCTTTCCTTTCTCGTTGTGTTGGTATCTTACAATGTAGACTCTATCAGTCATTGCAGAAAGTGTTGTCCTCCAAGTTCATGTCATGCCTCCAGACTTCGTGACCAATTCCCATTATGCCCATGCACCATAGCTCCCTCTGTAGGTTGTTGACGTCGATGAATGCTCAGTACCTAACTGGGACAGTGTCATAGTTGCAGAAGGGCTCAGGCGCCTGACACTAAAACCAATGGTCTTGAGTACTAGGCGTCTGAGATGTTAACATGTTGCTACCATCATACTGTTCTCGGTCGCGTGGGACTAAGCCAGCTACAAGCATAACAGACGAACGCGGGTGTGAATGCCTAACTACGTCGCCCCCCACAACGTCATCGCTACTGATACCGCCCGAGAAGGCACCTGATGGAGACAAAACAGTAGATCCTAGTTCACCAGAAGGAGCGACTGGTTCAGACGGTAGGACAGGGATCGCCATTTGACTAGCACGACCAATGTCAGCGACAAAGCTAGAAGGAAACGGTGAAGGGAGCTCGTCGGCGTCTGCGATTGGCAACTCTATCTCTTGGCTTTCACGTTTTGTGAGATCGGCAGCACGCATAACAGCGACCGTAGTTGTCTTTGTTTTGAGTCGGTTGAAATCGAATGACTCTTCAAACAATATACCATGAAGCGTCCGGACACGGGAGATGGCGACATAGGTAAGATCGGGCTGGAAGTCTCGCTTCTTGCCGGGGTTTAAGACGGCGGTATCAACGGATAGACCTTGACTCTTATGGATCGTGATCGCGTAGGCGATAGTGATGGGGAATTGGGTACGTGTACACCGAATAATGCCACGGACCCATTCACGCTTTACACGGAATATGGGAACCAAGGGACGGTCTGTATCCGGGTCCCGAAGAAGGTGAGATCGGTGACTCTCATAGTCGTCGAAGTTAATGAAGATAGCAAGGGGTGGGTCTGTGTTAGGATTAGCACCCTCTTCCTATACAATGTCGCGAACTGTTCCTACGGCCCCATTGAAGAGACGACGTTCTATCCAAAGATTCTCTCGCAACATCACCCGCGCGTTGATGGAGATTGGGATCTCTTTGTGCAGATTGCCGGCCTCCTCGGTATTAGCTCTCTCCGCTGGTACACCACCAGAGTGGGATGTGTTGACGAGCAATACTGGGCGACCTAGCTCTCGAAGACGACGATGATTGTAAGCCTTAACATCGTCCTTGTACGCATAGATTCGCATAGCGTTGTCGAAACGAGAGAGATTCTCGCTGCTACGAAGCTTTGCTTGTACACGGCTCGTGAATAAACTCTAATCTTTATGCGTGACTTTGTTTACACGCAGGTTATCGAGCGCTGTACGAAAGGCGCGGGACTCTGCGTTATCGCTAGTCTGACGCTTGATAACATTAAGTGTAATAGTTTAATTAAAGAGACGATACAGTTGCTGTCCAAGAAGAACATTAGTGGACTTTGAAGCGTTTATACTGTAGAGCGCCGTCTCAGCGACTGGTGGAAGCTAAAAGAAGTCGCCAGCGATAATGACGCTGATGCCGCCGAACGAATCGTCGCTGCGTAGAGGGAAGATCTCTTTAAGGGGACGGTGCATCCAAGTTAATAGCTTTAAACCCACCATCGACTTTTCGTTGATAATAAGGTACACGACACCTCAGAATTTCTCTTGGAGTCTTGAGTTGACCAGGTGCAAGGGGCTGATACGTCCGCTCTTTGACAGAGAATCGAAACAACGAATAGATAGTACTACTACTAAAATTGCAAGCGGCAACACCAGTCGGAGCTACTCGTAGAATAGGCGAAGACTGTCCGTGATTAGCTGTAAGTTTGTCGACTGCGCTACACATGGCTTTAACAACGATTGTCTTACCTATTCTAGCTTTGCCGTCTAGATGTAACAGTAGCTGACTAGGCTAGAGGCGCATTAGGTGATTCTCCTAGTTTGTAATAACGGTGTTATACAACAGCTTCTGTTTTGCTTTAAGGAGATGGTATGACGTAGTCGGATGCTCTCTCGATATTACTGGAAAGTCTGCATTGGCTTCCTTCCACCACTCTGGACGCAGATTAGGGTAAATACTAACACGATTACTCCAATCAACCCGGTCTCTAGGTCGATAGCCGAGCTGGTCCTACACGTCAGCATTATTGCCGTTTTGATCTAGTAGGTGACGAGTAATCTCTCCCCACTCCGCGTCCATATTGTTTTGGGCATTTCCATCCGGATCTTCGGGAGTAGGCTCATATACAGACTCTTCGGGCTTAGGTAACGGATCATCGTACCTATCAGGCTCATGATAACAGCGCTCCCGACACACCTTGTAGGCTTCGTGTCAAGCGTCAAGGTTGGGGAGAATCTTGTAGTATTGGGACTATGGGAGTGAGAGACTATATACGAATGCCAAGGCGCTAGCCGCAGGGACCAGGTAATCACGTGGGTTCACCTCACCACTGACACTTCGAAGTAGTTGGCGCACGGCTCATCGTGGATAGATTCGATATAAAGGAGACCTTTTACCGTACGAAACGCGTGATGAAGCATAAGCTTAGCTCGACCGTAATTTTCAACGTTGTCGGGTGGGTACCGAGGAAAGAAGTTGACGATACGAGCATTAGCATTTGGTCGGATGTTGCAGGGGTACCGGTGGTTATAGGAACGGAGGAACTAGAGGTAGGGAATGTCCTTGAGGTCAGAAGGGCGACGCATGTAATGCTCTACAACGGAGAGACCGCGACGAACTTCGCCTCTAATGCGGACCAACCTCGCCTGTGTATCAAGCGGTCGCATGTTAATATGAACATGTGCCCGGGACGCCTGCTTTAGAGGGAGATTGAGAAGCATATGACAAACTTCTTGTGCTGAATAGTCGCGTTCCCCGATAAGCTTGTTCATCAATTTGGTTACTATGGATTGAAATGGGCGCGCATTATTGACGAACGGAATAATGCGCAGCGCGAGCTTACGGTATGAAACCGACGCCTTTTCTGCCTTGGAAGCGTACTTGACAACATACTCTATAACGGTCGTCGTACTAGTACACGGTGATACATAGGCTCACCGAGAAACACGAAAGCAGAGTGGGAGGATTGGCCTGAGGCTTCGCCTGATATTGTTGGTGCACCAATAACACAGTCTCTACGTGGACAGAGGCTACCGCCACTAGATACAAGCCTGGCCATAGGCAATGACTTGGACGAGCCCGATTCTTCCACACTGAGCGAGCAAATGCAGCTACTAAGCTTCTCTCAAGATTATCACAACGTTTTGGCAGATCAGTATCTTGAATCAAATGCTAATCTCTCAGGGGGTCCGGTAGGTTCGCCTTCCAAGATAGCAGCTCTGACGGGTGCCGACATACCGACAACAAAGCGGTTAGCGAATGAATATGAGCTACTTCCAGAACCCCTGGCTTGGAGGAAAGAGCTGGAACACGCAGCTTCGCATAGTGTTCCCGTCATGCCACGTCGAGTATGTCGTCAACAGCCGAATCTCGCGGCAAGCACAACAGAATAGCCTCGTGGGCGTCGTTACGCCACCTGAACAACAATGGAAAGAGAGCGTCTGCTAAAGAAGATCATATGCCACGCTCTTCTAGTGATTCTGTGGTTCCGCGCCGCAAGCACATTGCCAGGAATAAAGAAGATGGTCCATTGAGGAAAGATAGGCACATACCTAACATCATAACCCATGGTAGGGTACTGAAATTAAACAAACGACGTGCAAGAGGCGTGAATGTACACAATAAGAAAAGGTCTTCCCCCACATCTCGAGATACTACTTCTACTCCTCCACTACCACCGCGACAGCCTAGTCCCTTGATTCAGCTCCCAGGGGATTCGTTCTGGTGCGGCAGTCACCCTCCATTACACCCCAACCAGAAACCCCAAACGTTCATGATGTCTCCCCCTTGGATGAGGATATACGCCACGAGAAAAATGTAGGGTCTCCAGTCTCTGCCTCTGCCTCTGCATCCGACATCCCATGGCGACGATCATCATGGTACAACCAGAACTCTCACGCTTTTGCCGCACCCACAACAATAATCAACCGGGAATCACATAGCTCATTCGGCTCCCCGCATTCACGACCTAAATCCAACAACTCCTCCACCCCAACATCCCCCCTTGCACACGGGATAACGCTGTCCCACGCAACAAACCCGCCTCCCACATCCTCCTTATTCCCCTCATACGACTCCCGAAGGAGTATCCCGTAGTCCGACACCAATTACGATGCTGCCACAGAAGAGGATTCTCTCGGTCGCGGCATCATAAACAAAGCACGCGATATGCGCGATGCATGGAGGAGACATCAGAGAGAAGTCAAGCACGACAAACTGAAGCAAAGCATTAGGGTGCTTGGGCCTACGGATCCCACGGAGGCAGCAACGGATTATGTGAAGCATGAGGAGGGGAGGTTGGTTGGGGAGGGCGGAGGAGAAGGCAGAAGGCCGGGGTATATGGTTGAAGGGTCTTTTTATTGGAGGGGATAGGTTGAATTAGGTAGAAGAAGAAGTTTATAGGATTATATACACCGAAAACGTCCATGATGTGACTTATGAGTAAATCCCGATGCAACGTGAATCTCCCGCGGTCGGCCGTAGCAGTCTTTCATCAAACAGCCCAAACCTCTCTCCTCGTCCTCCACCGCCAAACCCTCTGCCAAATCCTCCACCTAAACGCATAAAGACAAACCAACAACACAATTCCAAACGCTACACTACCATAAACCTTCCAATAATACTCTTCCGTCCTATCGGTATCAATGATACCCTTGAGATTCATTCCAAAGTACGACGTGAAGAACGACAGGGGCAGAAACACTATCGTGAAGCCTGTAAGCACGAAAATCGCCTTATTCTGCGTGTCTGCAATGATGGCAAGTTTGTTTTGCTCGATGGAGCGGAGTTGGAAGAGCTGTGTTGTATGGTTAGTGAGGATCAATAAACAGTAAAGCGAAAACGAGACTGTCAAACATACCGAATTCAGCGATTCACGCAAATCAACCGTAAGACGCGTACACGTTATCCGCAAATCTTCCATCATGTGCTGTGCAAATGCGATACGCTCCGTTTCCGTTTCGCCCTCGGGGTTATCAACAGTTTGTACGCCGGCTGCCTTGTCCTGTTGCTCGAGGAAGTCGCAGTCTAGCTGAAGGCGCTTGGAGAAGTCTAGTTTTTTGGAGAAGATTTTCCCTAGGACGGTGAGTTCGTCGATGCAGACGAGGTAGGCGCGGACGAGGTGGATGGTTTCGTTTCGTTGCCAGCGGTCGTAGCGGCGTTGTTTCTGGATGGGGTGTTAGTGCGGGTGATATTTGGTTTGGGAGAGCAGGTAAGGGGGATGGGAGACTTACCAATTCGTGCGCGATTGTGTCGTAGGCGTCCATGAGGGAGGGTATGCTGTAGCTCTGACGGATGTTGTGGGGTGTGGTTCCTAATTCGGCGATGAGGTACACTAGGAACCATTCTACGTTCTTACTGTGACGGTTCATGGGGTAAGGACATCCTAGGTGCCACGTGTTGGCGAGATGGTTCTTCCTCTTACTACCAGTCTCGCCTTGAACTTGTAGAGATATCCGTCCTCGTCGAATTTGTACGTGAATACCCACATCAATGGCTGTATCCAACGGAGCTGCTTTGGACAAGCGGCGAGAGTTTCTGAGCTGATAGACTCTGAGATACTGCCATTGATGTGGGTATTCACGTACAAATTCGACGAGGACGGATATCTCTACAAGTTCAAGGCGAGACTGGTAGTAAGAGGAAGAACCATCTCGCCAACATGTGGCACCTAGGATGTCCTTACCCCATGAACCGTCACACTTACGGCGCCATGTGGAAGTGCCTGTTTCAGAAAATTCACGATATATTTGTGCTGTTGCGGAGGCAAAGTTGTCGTGTTTAAGGAGTGGCTTCAGCGTGTGGAGATAGTGTCGCATGTTTGTGTTAAGGTAGTCGACGCCAGCGGTGGGCGACATTGTTAGCAGGAAGCCTATTATGATTAGGTTTCGTCTGTGTGATCTTCTGAATCTTCACTTACCATCGTCTCTATGAAAGCATCGCAAAGGGTTTCTCGCGAGGTATGCGTCTTTTTATTGTGGGTGTCTTGTCAAAGACTGGGAAACCTGCTCAAGCCTAGTCGTCCGAATGCCCTCCGATGGGCCGTTCATGTTGAACTGACTGCCTTCTGAGAGTTTCCAGGGAAGATCAGACTCAGCAAGTTCCCAGAAGTTGACGGTTTTGCCCACGTAATCCGTTCGCCATTCTACATCCTTTCGGAGATTTTGATCCTTGTCGCCTACAAACACGCTCGTATCGAGCTTCGTCTTGAACTGATCATCGGACTTCAAAATACGTAACAGATCCCGTGAGTCTTGGATCGACTGTGTGTTGTGCATGTCAAATTGCTCTATCTCCAAGTATGACCATCCCGCACGACCGGCTTTGATAAAAGGCCGTCCCATGGTCTTGGAGCCGGTGTGGAAAAATAACGCTTCGACAGACTGACCATAGTCAGCGGAGAGAGATGAGTCTCATGAACTAGCTACTCACCGAGTGTAGCAGACCAACACCGAGAGGAGCATGTCTAGACAGATGTGAGCGGTTGAACCTAGTCAGTGAGAGATAACGTACATCCAACGGACAGTAGACCACGATGGTTTCTGTCGAAATTCTGGTTTCATTAGCACAGTTTAGTAATACACGCGCTGAATCATACCTTTCTCTAAATCGCCCAAACGCACGTCATACTGCTGCGCTTTACCTTCTCCGAAGTCACAGATCGTGATCTGCATTTCCATGCGTGGAGGGAACAGCTCGTTGATAGCACGTTGCAGCTTCTCCTCTGCTGGCTTCCTGATCTTCACATCTTTCCAGAATATACTCCGCAGAAGAAGTTTGAAAGCTGTGCTGCTCTCCCGATTCTTCGTCCATCGTCGCAGCTCCTCAACTGTCTCAGATCGTTTCTGTGATTGAACACATCGGGCATGTAATGCAGACTCGGGTATATCGGGTGGTGGATCTCGTGTGAGCTTGCCGAGAATCTTTGTTGTACTGACGGGGATACATGGGTGGTCCTTTTCTGAAAGTTCGAACACCTCTTTCTTCGCAGGAGATTTGGAGACAGAACTTGTGGATTGTCGAGTAGCAACATTCTCCAGATCTTCTCCAAGCATGATAGCAACCATGTAGTCCGATCAATGCATACAAGGCTCCAGAATAGATATGAGTTGATCCAGAGTGGCTTGGGGTGCTTGCAGTGGGTACTGATTGAATCAATGTGTCGAATTCTTGGTTAATATTATGTATCTATAAGATAGGTAGCAAACGTAAAAGGAGAAAATCAGGCACCGGGTATGTCAAGATGAAAAAATGAGGCAGATGGATGAAATGCATTATCTACAAGGCTGAGCGAGGCATTTCACAGCTGATAGCGCTGAGGCTGGAGCTCGCTATCCCCAGCGACTATGAGCCTGTGACTGAGACACGAGTGGTTTTTTAGGGCCACATTATGCGCGTACAGGATCCAGCGTGTCGCCCGTAGTCGATTGCGATGATTTGGGTGTGAAGAAGCGACAATCGAGGCCAATATGGCGAGCCGGAATTAGCGCCACTTCACATCTGGCGCTTAGCCCTACTATTCCTTCGCGGCTTCGCCAGAAGCCATATCGGCCCCTGCATGGGTCTGAGCAGAGATTCCCACCTCAGTTTTCTCGAAAGTGACTGGATGTCGAATCATTTCGGTCATCTTTTCCATACCCTCTAACCCAAAATCTGTCAGGTTGAATTCGACTGTATCGATGTCTTTGAACCCATGACTTTGATACAGTCGCTGACCCTGAGCAGAGGCTTGCAGATAGGCAGGAAGCCCCAACTCTTCTGATTTTGCAATGCCCCATTGTACTAGAAGGCTACCAGCACCTCTTCGTCTGTGCTGAGGTGCGGTGACAAGAAGGGCTAAGACTGTATGGTTGCAACATGAGTATGCATTTTCGGCTTGTGGACTCGGACATTTTCGTTCAACTCACGTATATGTGGATGCTTGCCCATTTCACCGTTGCGAGTGCAAAAGTATTCATGCGCAGCTTCTCTTAGTCGGCCGTACTGATCCACCTTCTTCGACTCATCGTCCATCGGCTGCTTCAGACCTTCAAGATCGGGACGCCCCTGTGGATAGATTTCCCATTTTGCGTAGGCGATAATTTCGTCGTCGCTTTCCGTATCCACGACTTTCAAGTGGTGCACATGAGGCTTATTATCAAGGTCATTTTTTATTGACACCATCTGGTCTTCTTTGTAGTCTGGAAACGGAGGTGGGCGACCAATAACCAGAGATCCCAATGTTACCGTGCGAAGAGCTGTACATGTCGCAACATCTGCATGCTGTACGGGGCGAACCAGCAGAGAAGTCATTTTGCAAATTGGCCTACTCAGAAAAGGAAGTAAGAAGGCGCAGGTTGGAAGACGCATAACTTATTGGAAACGAGAAGATGATGAAACCTGACGACCATGCGAGCTCTGGGGGGCGGGGCCGTTCTCTTAAGCGCCCACGCGGCTACAGGGACATCTCTCTATCATGCTTGTTACAGCCAGACATGCAAGAAAACAGGGCACAAGCATTCGTAGTGTACGACTGTACACATATTGTAGTGAGCCCTTTAGTCCAGTTGAGCACAATTGTCTTGGAGCGGGCTTGAGTTGTCCACGGCGGTTCGTCGGTGCGCAAATGGCAGAAATAGCCCACTGCAAGAGTCTCAGCGTTAGCGCACGCTTGCTCATAGAGACGTCACACCTTTTGTATACCGTACTTGCACTTTGGCCAAACTTCTATTGTCATCGTTTCAAGAGCCGCAGATAAATATGAACTTCGGAAAAGATGCAATGGCTCATCGAAGTACATACACGCTCATTGGGTATAATACAGAGATCATGGCTGCGAGCGTCTCGGTACCAACAACAAAAGCGGATCCCAGCGAAGACCACACATTTACATTACGAACATTATCGTTCTTAGTAAATTTTATATTCTAGCACGAAAAATCTCTGATCTAGGCTAAAGTCGTGAAGAGGAATATTTACGCTGGAGTTAAGTCACTCCACTATCTGCTAACACCTCCATCAAACGAAATTGATCCGACAATATCAAAAATGTCAGAACCCAAGCATGGAGCCCTAGAGTCTTCCACACGCCTTGATATCATGTATGTATTATATCCTGATAGCGAGTGTGAAACTAATTTCTCTGCAGCACCGCAGCTAATGCACGAGACTCCCCTCTACTTCGCCTACCTGCCGAACTCCGGAATCGTGTCTACGACTACGTATTTGATCCAATACGATACAAAACCTTCTGCTCGCTTTATTACGGTCTAGAGCACCCCAGGCTTATAGACTGTAACTGCCTGAGACAGCGAATTCTGATCCCGGCTACGTGCCGCCAACTCTATGCTGAGACAGCAGCGTTGCCACTCCGCACAGTCGTTCTCGATTTTCCTCACCGGTTCCCGGGTGTGATGTGGACGATCACTTTGCCATCTGCTATCAAGAAAGCTGTGAAGGAGATCGTCTTTCGCATCGCTATGTCCCAATATCCCGTGGCCTTCTTCGACTATTTTGAGCTGCTCCGCGTCGCCGAGCATCTTCCGAATTTGACTTGTGTTTATCTCCGTATAGTGGAATTCGATTCAGAGTCTGCATTTGATTCACTGTCCGAGGAGTCCATAGCTTGGGTAGTTACGGAGCTCCAGAGCAGCTTGGAGAAGGCACATGGAAAAGAGGTGAAGATAATCCGGGAACAGGGGCCAATACAGACAGTTCATTGAATCCCCTATGTTTTCAGTTGAAGCAGTAAATTTCGAATGAGCTCTTGGAAACCATTAGTCTGAAAGCAAAGATATCCAGTAATCAAATATCTCGCCAAGGCAAGATATGCCTAATCGTCTTGCCAAAATTTGACGCCGTGTCTGCTTATCTCACTTCCACAACCCTCCCAATGTCCAAACTTACATCACCGATAAGAAGATGACGCCAACATCGCGCAGAATCACACACGTGTATATTTAAGTGCAAAAGCCGACTAATCTTTCTGGAATGGCATAAATTTAAAGCCCCTTTAGAGAGCTTACTGGTGATCTTGTCATGTAGTATATACACGCTGAAGTTCTCATGTGACCCAGAACACTCCTATAATCTCCTTACTTGATACCATCTGCGCTGGAGCCCTGCTGTATGACCTGGAGAGCTGTCCAACCCGATGCTTTACTTAATCATCTGCGTGTCCCCATTTGAATGGTCATCGGCGGTATTAGTACCACCGTGATCGTTATCCTCGTCATCCCTGTCGCTATCTCCACCATTACTACTCCCTTTACCCAACCAACCCATCTGCCTCACTCGCTCAACAGCAAGCCTCCGCTCTTCCTCCCCTTCCTCTTCCTCGTTATCTTTCTCCTCGCTTGTTTCACAAAAATACCTCAATACCGCTCTAGCCAATTTCAACTGCTCTTCCTGTTTCCTCACAAGTACGCTAACGACCTCAGCATTCCTGTCCGCCTGCGCCGCCCTTGTGCTTATTCCTCTTGATTCATCCAGAAGATGTTCTATATCTTCTGTAGTCATTCCAGTGCCTTGTTGGAGCCCTCGCTCGTATCCTTCGATGTAGCCCTGTTGGCGCGCGATGGCGTCTCGGTCGTCTTTATTGATTGATCCCGCTGCTTTCTGGCCCTTTTCGTAGCCTTCACATGTGGCGGTCTCGAGGAGGTCTTGTCGGTTCTTTTGTTCAGCCTTTGAACCGTCGTGGAAACCGGCATCGTATGCTTCTTGTAGGGTGCTGGCTTGTGTTGCCGATGATGCGGTTGCGTTATGCTGTTCAATTTCTTGTAGCCATTCGACAATGCGGCTGTGATAGGTGGCGGGGAGGGTAAGGTGGGAAGGGGGTATTATGGGTTGTAACGAAGCCCTTCGAGCTGTTTCATCTGCGTCGACTTCGAGTATTGGTGAATCGGCCTTCTCTTTTACACCGCCGTCATTGCTATGGCTCTCGTTCGACGCGTGCTCCGCGTGAAGGTCGGGTTCAGGCGCGGTCATCCACTCTTCCTTCCCCAACTCCTCTACCTCCGCTGCTTCCTTTGCCTTCTCATCCTTCTCCGACCGCTTTGCCCCTTCTGCTTTCTTTGCCTCCACCTTTCTCTTTCTCGCCTTCTTCAACACCCTCTTCTGCTTAGCATTTTGTTCCTTGTTTGCTGCCGTTTCTTCTGGCTTGACAGGAAGTGTGTACGTCTCATATGCCATCACTTCCTTAGGTATCGCATCAATAGTTTCAGTTGAGTCCGAGTGAACCTCGGGAGGCGTGTGTGAAGATGGCCCCTTTGACGTCCGTTCACGTTCGGATGGTCGAGCGGTCAACTTGGTAGACATATATTTCAACATGCCAAAAAATGGGCCTCTACGGCGTTTGCCAGCCGTTGTTGGTTCTGCAGGCATAGACATGCTGAGCACGAGAAGGCTCCGCAAGAAAAATGTGTTATATGCGAAGGTTCAAAGACCTCGCGGGTGGTGAGGCGACTAGTATGTTCTAGTTAGGAGAGGCTACAATAAATGTGATGAGAAAAATGGTTTAAGTGAATGGATCGTATAATCTAGTAGTGTGGTAGATTGTGGTAGAATGCAGAAGAGTGGAGAGTGCGCAGATGAAAGCCTCGTCAGGCGTATTAAGATGAGTTGGACAAGAGCAACGCAATTTTCCACGTGTTCTTGAAAGATACTCAGGCAGTGACTATCTACGTACCCGTACAGCACCAGAAAGCTGACCAATGGGCCTGGCAGATATGTCTGTATACACCTGCTATTTGTTGGAACAATCCTTTGGATCTATGCACTTAGTTCACTCCACAGACTGATTCGAAGTACTTACAACAACCCATTCAATGTTGAACGCAGTAATTCGCAAACAGAGCAGAATACAAGACGTAGAAATAGGCGCATAATGTTGGAAAAATTGCTTCAGCTTACGATGCCCCGTGGGGATCCTTTGCCCAAGCGCATGGATATAATATCGTCTATCTCATACCGTCTCTCTACGCCAACACTACAGCCTACCTACCGTCCCATGCTGTTGATCATCTCCCTCTGTGTTGCGCGGTCCTTGTTCGTCTGACTGAGTGATGGGATGCTCCTCAGGTCCCCCACAACATCCTTGGCCTTTCCGAAGTACACCTCTTGCAACAGGTTACGCATCTTGAGCTCCATATCCTCGACCATCTTGCCGATGTTGGCGACGTGCGAGGTATCATCCTCGACGGCCATGTCGGCTTCTACTTGACGCACCATATTACCAGAGAGATCGAGACCGCCGAGCGATTCGCTGTCAGTGCCAAGGGAGAGAATAACAGTAGAGGTGAGTTTGTAGTGAGATGTTCGGGCACGGTCTTGGGCGTCAAACACGTGGATGCTGTCCCAGCTGCCGGAGCTCTTAGGTGTGGGGTTGACGGCTGCCTACGTTAGCAGGTGGATGGTGGTCGAGAGATACGAGCATACTCTTCTTGAGAAGAACGCATCCTGCGAATCCATCGTCCATGTCCCATAGGTAAACGCTCGATATGCCACCCTCGAAGTATCTGCCCACGTCAGTCGTGCCCCACAAACTTTCCCTAGCTTTCCCAAGCTCGCTGCATAGCACTCACAGCTCCCTGTACACATCGAAAGCCTCGTTTGCCTTGACCTCCATCTTACGGACACGATCACTAGGCGTGACACCTTCTTCAATGGGCGGCTCGAACTCGTTGCTCCATGGACTTCTCCAGCTGTCACCGTCGCGGTTGTAGTCGCAGCATAAGAAGTCGCGCTTCGTCTTTGAGCATTTCTTCACGGTAAGCGGGATATCGACGGATTCGAGGAGGTCTTCTTCAAGCGATGGGTTGAGCTGAATAATGTGGTCGACATTGCTCTTGACGTCCTTGGGATTCAGTCGGCGGAGGAGGTCGCTGCAGCTATTAGCAGGTGGGGAAATGCGCGGTGCAACTTGTCTTACAGAGCGCTGTCAATAGGGTCCGCCATCCTGTTGCTTTTGATTCTGTATTTATCGGTGGTGAACTTGATGTGTTTGGTACGTTTGGGTACCAGGCCAGACCCCTCAATCTCCAACGGCTCCTCTGTCGGCGATTCGGGCGCTGGTGTTGATCGCTTGTCCCACGAGTCATGCGTGGAGAAACGCTGTGGGTCCAGGTCGCCCATCGTCAGTCACAGGTCAACCTCAACTATGCGCTTTTCTTGAATTTTGCTGGCTTTTGCACTCTCTGGAGTCTTCGTAGGTCGATGACAGCCGTGTGTTTTGTTTATGGCTCTTGTGGCAGCGACGCACTGTCTTTCAGTCCTGAAGGCAGCAGTTACGACTCTCACCACAGCGGCAGGAGCAAAGCTGCTTTGCGCAACAATCCCAGAGATGAATGTTTACAGCTCCAATTAGTCCTGTTGATATGGTTCTGTTTTGAAGGAGACGGTATAGTCTTGAGAATCTAGGTACTTTTTTCGCACAACTGACCGCACCCACTACATCAGAAAGAGATGAATAAGAAGCTCAATGACTATACTTGTTACGACAGCCTTTAAACCCCGATTTACGTTTTATGTATTTAGACTGAATAGATGCACCTGTCTCTCATGACTCTGGGCTGTTCTGCCAGTCTTGGCAGGCTCGCGACTCACTTTCACTTCGTCTCCGCAGCAACCACGTGCGTGTGGCAACCAATGGCGAGCAACACTTTCAGAGACTCGTGTCATGATATGCGAGGTGATTTATGATTCGACGATGATCATGCTGCATCTGCCTCGCTGTGCACTCACTTTCACCTGCCCGACATTACCGTAGTCGCGCCAGTGAGTTTTCGTACATATGCACTGAGACTCACCTCCTCTCCTGCATCTTTCCTCCATTACCTTTACAATCTTGCACTCTATATCTTCAACATCGACACATACAACTTCCACCACACCGCATCGTCAACATGTCTGAGAACGACAACCCTGTCTCTGCCAATGGCGGCGTCCCTCAGTTCACTGAGCGAGAGCTTCAGATGCTCGGATGGGCCATGCAGTCGCTCAAGTCCGGTCCTCCCGACGTAAGTTGAGCTCAGTGCATGTGAAGTTGCGCATATTGGCTGTTTCATACACATCACTTACACAAGTCATAGATCGACTTTGACAAGCTCGCCGCCTATGCCAGTATGACCAACCCGGGTTCTGCTAGAAACGCATGGGCCAAGATCAGGGTCAAGCTGACTCCAGCTCCTGATGGCACTGCCCCGGTCACTCCCAAGAAGACACCTCGCAAGAAGGCTGCTGCTGCTAAGAAAGCTGACGGCGAGGAGGGTCCCGCTGCTACCACTCCCAAGAAGACCCCAACCCCTCGCAAGCGCGCCCCCAAGAAGCAGGACGTCGACGGCGAGTCTTCTCCCAAGAAGAAAACCACCCGTGGCAAGAAGGTGTCCGATGACGAAGGTACGCATACCCCGCGAGCTTATTATGTAATCTTCATTCAATACTAACAGATGCACAACAGCCAAGTCCGAGGAGAACGAGGACTTCCAGATGGAGACCGACCCGGAAGGGGCTCCGGAGGAGACTATCGAAAAAGTCTAGACACCTTCCTCTGGACCAAGGTAGTCGACCTCTTCTCACAAGCTACCAACCCTTTCTACTGTTTTCCTGTAGCGTCCAAAGATCAGAAGAGCACATCACTGGAGAAGAGGATGGGTACCTTGTCCGAGCATGGCTTACTTAAGATCTTTGATTTGATTTTTTCCTTCTCATTGCCTTGGGTCAACGATATGGCGGCATTCAAACATGCAAAATCTGAAGGTCTCATGGTGGGGGAAGAATCGAGATTACTCGAAAGATAGCGATAGTTCACTTCAGCAGCGTATGCAGATGGCTCCACGATAGCTATCGCAGTCAAAACTGCGCGACTTCAATGTAAAAAGTGTCGTTCATTACATGATCTCAATGCCGCATCCTTTGGTTAGCATGTCTTGTGTGTGTCGACGATGTCTCGCATTCTATATCATGTGTTGGTTGTGCTAGACACCTTACAGGCCTGCATGTATGCCAACATACATGAAAATCGCCAGTGGTGCTCTATCCACATATTACCCCAGATTAGGCCCGCCCATCTCAACACTACAGCCCGGCTCCCAGGGACACATCGCCCTGCGCGAAACCAAGAGCATTAGTCTCACTATAGTTTTCAATACGTGGCTGGTGAATATACAGTTCTGGACATTTGTATTATGAGAGGATCGTTGTATGTCGAATCGATGTGACAGCATAGGATGGTTGAGTGCTCGAATAGGAAGTGCATGCTGAGGGTGAAGGACAAGGTGCGCCAAGCCGCTAGGTAGGGTGACTAAGCGCATCTCGAAGCTCGCATCATCGCGAACTGCGACGACATCAACGACAGCCCACGATTCCACGATGCAGTCACTTCGTAGAGCAGCAGTGACTGCTGGCCGCACGAGCCGAACTTCTCTATCGCGCCAGTCGCGCCGATTCGCTCACGATGAGCACGCCCACGCCCACCCTCACCACACAGTCGATGAGCCCATTGGGGTATGTCAAGCGCCCATTGCTTCTCCCCGATATCCCTAGGCCCCGTCCATGACACTGGAATGTCCCTGAAAGAATAATGCTGACCCAATTGGCATGTAGTATGGCTTTTGGGCGACGATAGGCGTCATCCCCACTGGCTTAGCCATCTACACCATGTCACGAAGCGACGGCGACAATAACGAGCCTTACTTCACACGCATGATCTCCAATGCTACAGATGGACTACACGACAAGTGGACGTCGCAAAACGACTTGCACGTGCGCATGATCGAGCAGGCGGGTGAGGACAGGGTGCTATTCTTGAAGACCCGGCCCCAACCGCACGTTGAAATGAAGTTCCCCGAGTACGTACCATTGAGCGAATAACATGCAACTGGGAATAGACCAAGGCTAGACTGGGGGATGGCTGCAGACTTGTGCATGGAGAAGGAGTTGGCGTGTGTGGCTCATGCTGACGAATACAGGATCATGAACGTTGGATCGCCTTACAACGTCCCTGCAGGAAGCCAAGTTCAGATGGACAAGGTAATCGAGAAGTACAAGAAACTCGCATACGAAGACAATGAGCGCAAGTTGGAGAAGCTGCGGAACAACGACATCTCGTCTGAGAAGCCATTTGAAGGCAAGACGCGCGTCAAGAAGGCGCCCGATATGTTCTAGACACGTATTGAGTTGGGCGGACAGATGTACATATCTAAGGAATGATATCCATTTCATTTGTGTATATGAGCTCTTGCACTGTCATTACAAGATCCTATCCCGGGATGATGCTGCCTGGATGCCGTCGCAGTATCATTAGTAGCGTAATATCAGAGTTATGGTACACTAAAGGTCTCCTCGTATACCCCTCGTGTCAGGCCTAGCTGCCGCATAACGTCGCAAAGGCCAACAGGCCTAGACATCTTACCGTGTTTCATGGTTGTGGAATCGGCACACGTCACTTTGTGGTAGGGCTGTTGTTAGCCCCACTTGGTGGCGGATGCCTAGTCAGGGATCGCCGTTGATTGGCGCAGTGTTAGCGTAGTATGCGCAGTTCACGATGAAGTTGAACATGTGTAGTGAAAGTGAAGGTGAAGTCGAATAGCGGCAGGAAACTGCTAGCTTGGTTTTTCAAAGCTGTAGATAGTTTCTTCTTGTGCCTGACTTGACTCCTAACCAACTACACTCACGACACCCACCGCTTGCCAGACCACGACCAGCTAACATAAGACACACACTAACACTCTGGTGAAGGAAAGACTTTCTTTCGGGACTACAATCTCAAACAAAAGGTAAAAGAGGCCCTCAAGCCAGGCTGAAGCTATGGTTTCCTTTTGCTTTGGCAGACAATCTCCACCAGATTGCTGCTGAATTGGCAAGAAGCGGCGCAGTGGCTCTGTTTAGTCTTGGAACCCTAGCTAATCAAAGACAGAAGGGGAGCCCGCAGCTATATCTGCGGTGCTGGGGAGATGCGGTCCTGGAGCAGGATCCTGCACAGGAAGAAAGCGGAGGTTCCCAAGGAACCAGGTAAGTCTTAGCGCTTGACGCACCCCTGTCACTCCTAAATACGGCGGATGAGCCGTCGCCCTGATTACGGCGGCTGCAGGCTGCATAAACATCTTTCCTAGCCAGGCCGGCTTTCCCAGATCCCAATTCCCATTGTCTTGCCCGCACCCACTTTTCACACTCTCACGCATAGTCCAGTTTCGATGCTAACCCCGTCAACAAAGATTCCGCACCGCAACTCCCCAATCTCCCCTTCAACAACAACAACCAAAAGCATGACATGACCGGGTCAGCTTGGACCTCGGACGACACTTCTCGCACTGCAGACGCTGCACTACCACGCAACACCTCACCCACCACGATGCCGCCACACACCTCACCCCGCAACGTCTCAGGCCCGCTCGCTGTCGACAAGCCCCCCATGAGCCCTCTGAGCCCCATGAGCGCCGACGAGAACAGCTCATGGGCGCGCCCAAACCACTACAACACACCCAACTCCAAGACATCGCAGTACATTGATAAGATCACGCAAGAAAACGATCGTCTGCGTCGCGAGCTGCGAGCCGAGAAGCTTGCGCGAGAAGACGAGGCCAAACGAGTGTCGGCCGCCCAAACCAAAGCCGAGGATTCTCGCGCCGAGTACGAGCACTGGCAGGTTCTCGCCAGTACCAATGCTCGAGCCATCGAACGCAAAGACCGGAAGCTGGAAGAGCTCAAGGCATTGCTGGACATCGAAGTTGCCAGGAGGAAGTCCGCAGAGCTGCGCGCCGAGGAAGCCCTGAAGATGCTCGGAGACACGCGGTCCGAGACACAACGGCAGCTGTCACAAGCATACGAGATGAAGGGAATGGCCGACACCAACCTTGAGACTGCCCGCGATGGCTTCAAGCGCATGACAGAGGGATACGAGCGCAAAATCCGCCAGATCAACGACGAGCTGAACGAGCTGCGAAGGAAGCGCCTCGAGGACGCCGACAAGATCAAGCGCCAGGCCATCATCAGCGACCAGCTCCAACACGAGTCGTCACGAGCTATCCGCACCGAGGCCAAGCTGACCAATCTCATGGAGGCTTACAAGACCGAGCACAAAAAGGAGGTGGAGCAGCTCGTCCAGGAGGCAGAGAAGCTGCGACGTGTACTCCCCGAGAAGGAGCGTGAGGCCCAAGAACTGGTTGACTCGCTGTGCCAGACTCGCGATAAGATGCGCTGGGTCATGACTCAACAGCAGCGCCAGACTGGGACCTGAATCCATCTTCCCCACACTTCGCACCATTGCCCACCAACACGGTAGAGGAAATAGACAACTACCGAAACAAAACGGACACGAAACCGCCACATTCGACGGTACACCCCCGGTGCATAGACGAAATACCCATTGGTCTCTGCTCCCCATACAGCACGACGATAATGACCAAGTTTTGTTTCCCGGGGTTCATGGCAATCTGTAACATATCTGGATACGGCGTTGGGGTTTGGGCAAGTATCACCGTATCATGCGAGGATGAGAAGGCGCTTTCTGGGTATCACGAGCAAGTCCAATAGTATGCTCGTGGGGTCATTTGAGTCGGTTTGCATTTTCGTGCACGCATATTTACATACTGGTTCTTTCACCTAATTCAATTTGTCACTCTGGTCTTTATTACAATATTTGCTTTGATGTCACTTGCTTACAGCTATCGTTCCTGCATATGTGCAGCTCGTTCCTTCCTGCAGGGCAAAGAGCTAGGGAGACGCCGAGCGTACCTGCTGTAAGGGTTTCTTTTTACGTACCAAACACAGCAACCACAACAACACCATCCGCATCCTCACCCTGACAACTTGCACTGCCCCTTACTGGCTACTCAGTGTATCGGCACAGGTAGGGCACGGATCGTCTTGAGCACAAGGCACATCACAACTGCGTAAAAGATTCTCGGTGTAAGAAGCAGATCACTCAACAAAGCTTGAACTTTTCATTTCCCCATCTACCCAACAAAAACTGCTAAGGTCTGCTTACAAATACATGCAGGAAACAAACAACCTGAAAATGCACAAACTTCCCCCGAGCCAAGATGCGGAAGTGGCTCCATGTGTCATACGACCTCCGGGAAGCATCTGAAATCCCAAGTTCGAGAGTTTTGTTCGTCCTAGGAGACAGTCAGTCACCTTCCATAAGACATAGGAGCGTACGTCCTCACCATTCCGCAAACCAAATCTAGTTGACCGGAGTACCACACTGTGGGCAGCATTTCCCGGGAATCACCCACACCGTATCGCCGCGCTCGAGACAGGCAGGACAACGACGACCAGGTACCTTGGGTTGTGAGTACGGGTCTAAGTACTATCAGTATCGGAGACTTACCGGCCAAGTTCTAACTCCGCCGAGGTTGCTCATATAAGGACTGGCAACCGTGTCGATGGGTGTAGGTAGACACATGGCGTTGGCTGGCGAGCGGGACAGCAGTGAAGCGTCTTCAAGATGGTATCTGAGCGTGAATAGAAGCAGATGCTACAAGAGAGACACTGAAAGACAGCAGATGAAGTGAATGAGAGTGTAAGAAAATTATCTCAAAGCGAAGGTGGCTGGATCACTGCTTGTCTACCAAGACAGAAGCGCGGTCTTTATACTTTGATCATTCCTCCAAAACGATAGCTACACTAGAACCTGGCTACCGGCGTAACTCACGTATGCCGCACGACGCTTGTGGCGCGCGCATCAGACTGCAGTTTCCCGGTCTCGAGGAGACGATGTTCCCTACACCTCGCCTCTCCAAGTTAAGCATAGGCCACTGTGCATCGTCGACCATAGGACATAAAGGACATTTTGCGCCATGCGGTCCCACATGACTGGGAACATGCGGGTCAAGTACATGTCGACCGGTGTCTTGGAGCCGCCAAACTCCCAGAGTATCCAAATCGGTTCGGAAGACAGTAACATCGGTATACACTGGCGCTACAGACGACGGGATCGCAACTTTTTGTTGCTTGAACTGTGGTAAACGGATTCGTATTCTGCGCTGTCTATCCTGTGGAGCCTATCAACCAGGATTTCGGGATTCGCTCGCGGCTCACCCACTGCCGGTTTCTTAGAATCACGCACCATGAGTATATTGTCGCAGCGACAAGACAACGTAATTATGTGGATCTAACCACCAGTGCTTACCGATTTTCTCTTGAGTACGACGTGTGGAAAGGCATGATATCGTTGAGCTTCGTCGATTTGTCGTTTTCTCGAGTTCGCCTAGCAAGCCACCATCATCCAGAAGGCCTGCACCCTGCGTCCAGAAGCAAACTTGTGCACCACCCCCACCTTACTACATATGATTTCGCTTTCTATGGTCCGTTGGTATTGATTGGACATTGCGTGGACCAGATCGATTGCCGAGCTCTCAGTGATCCGCCTGTCCCATTCACTATCGCCGCTTCGCCTACTAGCTCATACGGATAACGGTTCCGCTGTCATACAGCTAGCTAACTGTTTCACCAAACCGGTGTGGATATGAGCCATGGGAAACAAACTAGCTGCATCATGCAACTAATTGTGATATTTGCAATCCAGGGCGGTAAGTACTGGTCGTTTCCATGGTTCCCTTCACTGTTAGACTTCACACACTAGACCATTTGGGTATGCTGCTCGCAGTCACAGAACAAGTCTCATAATCGAACCACTGAACTACCGTCTGCGTGGTATCTAATGCCACTGAAAGCTTGGAGAGCTATTCCGCTCCCATGTTCATGGTCAACAAGGACGAAAAGAGCCATGTTGCCGTCGACATTTATACAGTTCCTTTTTACGATGCCTACCAGCTGACCGTTGGCTACAGAGGTTTCTTATCTGTCGAATTCAAACGTCTCAGACGATACCGCCCAGTCAATATCTTACGGTGCATCCTGCCTCTGCTTGTAAGGTGTTTGCTTGCGGCTAAATGGCATCAACTAGCTAGGTGGAGTTCGGCCAACATATGAGATACATGCCAAGTCAACAATTCCTGGTTGAACATGGTTGTACAGAACGGTCAACATACTTAGTGCCTGCATCTTCGTCCAGTACGATTTACACTGTCAAAAGCCGCAAGACCCGTTATGGAAGGGGCTGCAATGCCTCCACCGCCCCAACCTGCCAAGAACTACAGCCATGAACTGGGAAAACTTCACAATAGACGTCGTGAGACTAGCTTGATAAGAAAAAGCCGATATGAAATTACTGCTCGCACAGCTGGGTTCTGAAGGGCCGTCCCGCCCGCCGCTCTTGTCGAACATACCACGCGGTATCCACTGCACCGGAAACTTGACGTCAATGAAAGGAGCTGCAACCGACTTGGATATCCACACAATGGTAATTATTGACATTTTCGCTGTTAACCAATGCTATTGTGGTCAAAGAACAAGCATTCTCGAATGCTCAATTATCTCTCTCTCTCTCTCGGTCCCGGATATAGCTTTGTGCCCTTGATACGGAAGCTCATGATTGGCTGTGCCAGTTGAAGGTCCTTTTGGTTCTAGGGTGCCTACACACTATGCCAGTGGTTATACAACTGTGAACATGGTACCCGTCAACACCTCCAATCGTGTTTCTAGGCCAGGCTAAATATCTGCGTAATACCAAGCACCGAATCTTTCGCCTATCCATCCTTGAGTGATCGGTGTGCGAAATCAATTCAGTTCACCGGATCATCTTCTGACGGCTAGTTGGAAACCCTCGAGATACAGGGCGCGGAGCTGTCATGGAGCACAAACCAGATATCATAGAGCTTTTCGGGTTTAGGCCTATGTCGGTCATACTCAACTGATGCGTCTGGGCTGCTCAGACTTCAAGGGGCCGATATCGGCCTGGAGAAACCAGCGCTCGTTTCTTCGCAGCCGAACCAGCATGCTACCACGAATCGGAATAGCCTATCCATGGGCTCGGTCGCCCATAAAAGCGCCCATAGCCCTACGGAAAGGCTAGATATGCACATCATTCTTCGTACTACGGTTCCAGCGTTTGATTTGGCATACATGCTACACCGTTGAAAATGCAGCCTCCCTTGATGTGTGAGCCAAGTCCTTGTGTTAGCGGCTCGGTACGGCTTGCGTTCACCTGGTTAATACCAGAACTCGACTATAGCCACTTGAGGTAATCGATAGTCTAGAGATGGACAGATATGCTGGTACAGACTTACAGAAGCAGCCCTGCACTCTTGCACTTTTCCACCGTTGGTACAACAACACGTCTCCGCATCCGGCAGTGCGCGATTCGTTCGGTAGCGGCGTTCATTCATTCGTTACGAGCCACGGAGAGTTCCCCGCAGCATTATATGTCTGCAATGTTTGCCGATAATTTCTATCAGTGCCCACGTGCCAATGATGGAGTGGTTTCTGGTCCCACGACGTTGTTCGAGCCACACACGCAACGAGAAGGACCACAACCTGCGCGTACGGCGACAGTCTGTACACCGATCTAATTTCTGCCCTCTCCTCGGCCCGCTGGTCTAAGATACCTCATTCGGAAAGAGCCTTTCCACTCAGTAGGACAGAGCAAGTGCCTTGCCGTGGTGTCATTTACTTCTCAACTCCCCGATGGTCCCCGCCGCTACACCAGTACCACGAAAGTTAATCTCCAAGGAGATCTAGTCGCCCCAACATGGCATACCCTCCAGTCTCCGAGCAGGTATATCTGCCCTGATACGAGGGGGCCCGAATACTTGGTTGCTTACCGGCGCTTGGCATGCTGAATACGTGGATGTGCAGTCCCAACACAGCTTATCGCACACTTTGACAGCAGATTGAGCCGCATGTGACCCAAAAAAAATGTGGTCGCTACCGCGGTGCGTCTCTGTTACACGGACGGACGGGAGTTGTGCGTCGCTTTGCCATGGAGAGACGAGAGAGGCGCCTTTTTGCAAACTAAATGACCAGTGTCTGTCTGTGTACGTCACATCTGGAAGGCTATGACGCAAGCTACACGCGACGGCTTCGAGGGCTTCACACTCGCCAATATTACATGTCTTCACAAGCCACTGTTGCGCGAAAAAATGAAGCTGGATTGAACTTCACCGGTCTTTCTGAATCCTTTCAGAGGAAGATCCGAGAAAGCAACGTTTCCAGAGGTTTCTCGGATTCTGCGTGAGCTTGCTCACAACTGAAAGGATGCAAGAGCTGTGCTTGACATCTTGTTGAAGCCAACATGGCTTACATGCAACACGTGACGAAAGATTGCAGAGAAGTAATATTCATGCTGGACTGTAGAAAAGCTTCTGGCAATGATGTGTGGTAAGACAGAAGCGCCCTAACATCGAACAGACAAGTATCCAGATCCTTTTCGTAGTAGCGTCATCATGCTGATAGTTTATTCTCTGTTCTTTTCTTCTTTTCTATGGATGCCATGAATCAATGATATACTTCTGTTCCAGCGACTGCTATTGTATACGATTTGTTTGTCCGGCCTTACTTGCTCCTGCCTCCTTCGTTCTAAACTTCGTTCTCGGCTAGAATTGTGTAGCCATTACATGATCATGCCGAAAGCTCTATAAAGCCTTTTCAACCTGACTTACTCCTAGAATGGCGTGAATGTGAGCGCTTATGATGTATCATTATCGCTCTACATATAGTGTACAAACATGTATGAAAGAGTAACACTTCAAGTTCTAATTCATGTTTCGTCATCACTCTCACTACCCACCAAACGGCGTCGCAGACGTGTAGGATACCATGCATGCGTGCTCTCCCCAAATGGCGCTAACAAAGCTGTGATCGCCTTGTCTCTCCACCATAATACTTGCTCCTCTCCTTCTTCAACCTCTGCACCAGGCGCTGATGATGCCCCACGCTCTCGTTCGGGAAGTGATTCCGCCGACTAAGCCTCCTCTGCATGTGAAAGAGCTAAGCACGAACAAATATCAGCGTTCTGCCCAAGAGCAGGCTTGACAAGATCCCCGGTCTAAAGGAACAACAAAGACAGCGAGGACAGGAAAGGAAAGAAATAACAAGATAGTAGCGGACAAGAAGGAACCACTCCCCAACAGTTCAGTTCAATCAAGCCGTACTAACCGTCTTCCTAATCCTAACCAGCAACACGCCCTTTGTGATGACACCGTTCGAGTCGTAGAGGTGCAGCATGCGCAGACCGGGGCGGAGGCGGTCGAGGCGGAAGCATGCCCATGCGGCTAGGTCGTCGCCGAGGCGCTCGTCGTCCATGACCTTGAATCTGGGTGGCGGAAGAACACGACGTTAGCATGCGTTTTGAGATGAAGATGCATAATTGCCGAGTGAGCAAGGGGCCTTGAGAAGATCTGGTCGCGCATAGTGGATCTTCCATACGAAAAGTAGTGGCGTGCATAGCGAGATGGTGGATAAGAGGCTGGCGAAACAAGCCGTCGTGTGTATTGCAGCCGCGAGACTGGGAATCTCTGGACCGGTAAAGAAGAAATGGCGAGGCGCAGACACACCAAGGCGGGAATAACGGCGATTTGCAGTGTTAATGGTCCCGATCCTAGTCATCGTGGTACAACCCCTCGCTCCAGATGCCAATTCACCCGCGTGTACCACCTTTGATGCAGGTAAAAAAAATGCAGTGTCAGATCAGGTTCAGGCCACCCATGTCCGACAGATTGTGCTCTGATAGACCGGCAAAAGTCTCCGTGTACGAGGGTCATGCTTGCGGTCCTCATGGCAGGCCGCATAGGCTGGGCGAGTACGACTAAACAGAAGGAAACAATGGACTTACCGGACAAATGTCAATTCCTCCGTCACGCCAGGCACGCCAGCAAATTTGATGACTTCGCGGCCGAAGTCGGGGTTTGGGGATCTCGATGTCTTGGTCTTCTGTTTGTAATCACCCTTTTGGCTTCTTCCATTGCCTGGGACTGGCTCGGCGTTGCGCTCTTCGTGCGACTCGACATGCAGTTCAACTTTGACGTATGGTTTGAAATCCTTGGGGTCATCTTCCTCGGGGGGTAGCGGGATGTCTTGTCCGCCTAGGAACTCGATGCTCAGGTCTAGGTCGTGGTGAGGAATGGCAGTCTTCTGTGTTGCGGCGTTGCTCGTGCTGCGGTATCCTTCAGGCTTGAGAACCCATCCAGCGGTGCCCGCAAACATGGCTTCGTTTTGCATCATGCCAACATCCCAGCGTTGCCAGTTGAGAGCCACAATTTGTACACCCGCCCGCCAGAAGACGGAGGGGTTCAAGTTGGATGAAGTCAGCCGGAGACCCTTTGGATATGCGCGCATGAAGAAGTGCTTGTTATGACCAAAGAGACCTTCGGGGTCAGTTTCGTGAACCTCCATCAGCGTCCCCTCTGACAACGAGAAGATGTGGGTGGGGATTTTTGCCTCTGGTGCATCGAGAGTTTTGTATGAATAACCAGCCAAGTAGACACCTAGTTTTGACAGAGATTTGATAATTTTGGGCTTTGGCGCTGGGGGCTTCTTCTCGCCATCCGGACCGACTTCTGATGATGTTCCCGAGTTGACGGAAGCTGCACTTTCGGTATGTTTCAGAGGCGGTCGCGATGCATCGGTTGTCGCTGGTTGTGATGTAGGAGCCACTGGAGTGGTATGGCCGCGCTTGACCTTGACAAGTATCTTCTTTTCCAAGTCTTTGAGCGTGGGTAGATGGACGCTGTCTAGGTCTTGCGCTGGCTCCAACGGCTCCTCAAGCATCATGCCCTTCCAATATTCATTCATGATTTCAACCATAATCTCTTGCTGTTCTGGGCAGGTGTGGACCTCGAGACTGACAATCAGCGGTAGATTTGACACTGTAAATGCGTAATCTCGAATAGTTGCGCACACAGCTCGAAATGTCATGTCTTTGGTTAAAGTGTAACCGTGGAACACCCTGGGCTCGGCTCGCTGTGTGAAGGAGGCCGAGTGCCAGGGCTCAATCTTCTGCATGCCGTCCTGAGGCGGCGGGGATGCTTCGTGACTCTTCTCTTCGGGCTCCTCCTTCTTACTAAACTTCGCGGCCAACCTCTTGCGAATGCTGAGGCCTGACTTTGACTTTTTCTTTTCCTTCCTCAAACTGTCGGCTCCTGGGTTACCCATGGCAGCTTCCTCGTCCGAGCTTGAGTCGGAGAGCACTTCTCCATCCCATACATCTATCTCGACGCAGCGACATCCGCGCATCAAGACGTTCTTGTAGGCATCAACACTCGCGTCGCTTGAGAGTTGATTGCCAGTGAGGTATGTGTTGTGGCTCGAGGAGATGAAGTAGTTTGAAATTGGGTATGACTCGTCTAGTGGTAGCGGTGGCTTCATGACACTGGCGGAGTCTGACATGAAGTAGTTTGCAAAGTGTGAAAAGGACCCGTCCGCCAGAAGCTCTGCATCCTTTCCAGAGCATTGCTGCTCTTCGGTGAGCCAGCGCAGTTGCCCTTCCTTTGTCGTCAAATCGTAGTGCTTCGAGATGTCGGTGTATACAGTCCTGAGATACTGGGTGAGGAGCGGCGATAGGTTGTCGACGTGGCGGGCTGTCGATGTTGCCGAAGCTGTACCTCCGCCCGCCTGAAGGTATGGGTTTTCAACCTCTGGGGCGCCGAGCTTCTTGTCTTGGGTAAGATCCGGCATGATGTAGGCGTGTTATGGGTACAGGAGTGCCAAAGGTGAAGAGTAGTTGTAAGGGCGAACGAAGAGCGTTGAGTGTGTGTCACAATGGGAACAGCAGCGAGGTGTGAGTGTACAAGCGTATATGTATGCCTGAATAAGGGCGGAGTCCGGACAGCTCAGCTGTGCTAGTAGGTGTAAGCCTTGTTGCTAATTGCGATTGGACCCTACACGTATGCGAGGCGTACCTTGGATGGAGCGGTAGGGAAGTGCTGTGTGCAGGCCAATACGTTGATGTTGACTTTAGTACTATGGGTTGGCAGCGGGACCTAGCAAGTGAGGAGGTGCGGCTCGCAACGCAGGACGGTTGAAGCGGGCGCGATGGCCTCATGGTCAGCTCGTGCCTCCCTTGGCTGCCGCATCGGTGTTTGATCATCCAATTGGTGGGGCGCAGACCATGGCTATGACAAAAACACGCGGCATTGGACGTTTGCTGCATAGGATAACTAACACAAATGTGAATGATGGGGTGCTGCCCTGTTTGCGTTGGTCCCTGACATGTGCCGTTCCCGCCAAGTGACGACGTCACAGGGCACCTGGGCAGGGCCCAGTATCACGAAATCCTACATACCACATCATTCATCTAGATCTAGTCACTTTACTTCAAAGATGGTTGGAGCAATATGGTGAAATCAAGAAAAGACGCAGAGAACGAGGTCCGATCATGGGGATTCGGCCACGTCTTTACCTGGACAGACAGCCCGTGAGTCTGAGTCTGCCTACGCCCACTTGTCGTAACTGCAGCTGATTTCAGCCACAGCAATGCGCACTACTCGCCACACAAGCATAGTGGCAAGACCACGCATCTCGTCCTCAACGGATCAATAACATATACATATCCCGATGACCCCGACGCGAAGAAAGAGACTATAGGCCCTGGCGACAGATGGGATGTCGACGCGCAAAAGGTGCACGAGGTCTGGGTAGGCAGTGAAGGATGTACATATGTCATCGGGGAGTGAGCATGCTACGCATGCCAATTAAGATTATCCTATTTATCTATTCATCCCCATCACCCTAAGAAGCCGTGCTGTCCCAGGTACTTGATTGCATCAAGCGCCAGTTGATCCGCCTTGACAAGCTCTTGTTCTACCATGCGCTCGTACAATCCCACAAGCTTGTTTTCGTCTTCCTTTGGCGGGTGCTGGTACTTGCACTTGCTGATATACGGACACTTTCCACTCCTCTTCCAGTTTGAACATAGGTTGGTGCTCTTTGTATGAGATTGTGGCGCTGCAGGATGAGGTGGCGGAACCTTGACGGGCGGTGGAGCTATCTTCGACGATGTGAATGCCGGTGCTTCGTCACTATCGTCTGATCCGGATTCGGAATCCTCCTCAGACTCCTCTGAACTCGAAACTATCGACGACTCCGACAGGACCGAGCTCTCTTCCTCCGAAGCGGTGTCACTGGCGTATCCGAGGCCCAAATCTACTCTCGGCGCTGCTTGCTTCTTTATCATGCTTTCGTGTAGCTTCTTTCTTAGAGCAGCAAGTTCTTCTTGTCTCTGTTTCTCGTTCTCTTTCTTCGCCTGGTCTTCTTTGCTTGTATAGCGAGACTTGGTGGGCCGGACTTGGGTATCGACATGGTGTTCTTTGGGTGGTTTCCCTTGCAACTTGCGCAGAAAGTCGAGCTCAGCCGCGCGTTTCCTGGCAGCCTCCTCAGCCTTTTCTATTTTACTCTTCTCTGTGGGGAAATGCCTTCTTCGATCTTTCCTCCATTCCGCCAATTCTGCATCTGTCTGTACGCTGATCATTTCCCCTTCATGTTCGAATACAAAGCCGCCACCCTTGAGCTTCTGTGCAAATGCCGCCTCTTCGTCGATGTCTTCTTCGTCGCTGCTCTCTTCGGAAACATGCTGCTTCGAGAGTCCCAGGTTGACCCTGCGCTTCTTGTTGCCAGGTTGTACCGCGGACGGGGGCGGCAGAGCGAAGCCAAAGCTGGGTACTTGTGGAGGGACGGCAGCTTTGGCTCTCGGTGGTTTCGAGCCTTGCTGTCTTGTATTATTATTGCGGTCGCCGAGTTTCCGCTTCTGACCTGCATGTTGTGATGGAGAATACCGAGCGTCGGGTTGCTGATATTGGGGGGAAGAGGGCGGCGGGTATGAAGGACTTGCGTTTCCGGCACCTGTCATATGATTGGCAAACGCAGCCATTGACTGCACGCCAGCGGGTGTCGACATGTAAGACATGACTTGTGCCAGAGCGTTGGGGTCGAATGGTTGCTGTGCCTGGCTTTGAGTTGGCGCATTCCCCGCGAAGGCCGGGTTGACGTAGGCGTGAGGGGATGCAGGAATTGGCGGTGCGTTAGACTGATGTTGTCCATGGTTTGCATTGAAGCCTCCATTGTGGTTTCCACCGCCTCTATTGTGCTGTTGACCTCCTCCTTGGCCTCCGCGTTGGCCTCCTCTACCGCGCCCATCTCCCCGTCCACGATTATGTCCATGGCCTCCCCTTGTATTCTCTCCAACACTATGGAAGCTGCCACCTCGGTTCTGGTTACCACCTCTCCCGCGACCACGATCTGCGCCTCCTCGATTGTGCCCTCCTCTTTGATTTGCATATGGCTGCTCGCTGGACGTAGCCTTGGGCGGCGGTGGTGGAGGCGGAAACTTGAACGGCGCCATCTCGGATGCCGTGAAGGTGTCGTTTATGTGATTGAATAGGCCGCTCGCATCCCGCAAAGTAAAATCGAGAAACACGAGGTTATGCGCCCTGACACGACGTTCATGGAAAAGTTGCGTGGGAGATGAGACGCGCCTCGGGAGTCCGACAGCCAAAGTTTCCTTATCGATAAAACTAGCGTTGCGCTAATGGTCACCCAGAACGCGAGCTTAGTCTCTGACTCTCCCAAGTATATCACAATGTCTAGCTGACGACTACTCCTTACACCCAAATCCATGAAGCCTCCAAGTCTGCCAACATGTTCATACTCGTAAGTTGATATTTGATCATCCTTCCACCATGTAGACAGTAGCTTGTCAATGCCATCTTATCGAATATTCGTGAGAATGCAAAGAACATCCGACCGGCTCAATACACATGCGCCGTGATATATGAAGGCCTTGGCTTCTGTCGCAAAACTCCAATCATATCATAGCAAGACTCTGATAGACCCTCTAGACCACGATTCAAGACTTGATACAAATCAAGCCCGAGGATTTTAGCAGGCCGAGCCTGCAAGCCATCAAAGATGTAGTCAACGAAAAGTACAGCAACAAGATCATTCCAAACATAGGGCTATGTCTTTGCATGTGGGATCTATTATCAGCCACAGAGGGTCTAATCGGCCATGGGACAGGTCTTGTGAACGTCAACAGTAAGTGAAACTATCGTGTTTCTCACTTCCAGCTCACACGCTTCAGTCGAATTTCGCATGACCGTCTTCCGTCCATTCCGTGGTGAAATCATCTACGGACTTATCAAGTCTTCCAACGAGGAGGGCATTATCATCGACCTTGAGTTTACTTCCGAGGTCTTCATACCCTACCAGAATCTCCCCGAGAATTCAACTTTCTCAAAAGCAGAGAATGTCTGGGTCTGGAATTCTGAGGGTACTGAACTATTTTTTGACAAGGGTGAACCAGTCTTATTCAGGGTAGAACACGAAGAGTGGTTCGATCAACGGCCGACTATTGTGGAAAGAGATGAGAAGGGTGAAATTGTTGAGGAACGACCCACAGCATGGAGAGTCATTGTGAGTACAAATGCATCATGGATAAAATTCCATCTAATTTAGAGTGCAGGGCTCCATGGCTCAACCCGGTCTAGGTCCAACGCTTTGGTGGGCAGAGGAAGGTGAAGGAGGCGAAGAAGATGGGGATGGGGATGGGGATGTCGAGATGGATGGCGCCGAGGAATGATCATCTTTCCCAAACCTCGCGCATAGTCATATGTGACTGTTCCAATCTTTATCCTACATGACCAGAAGCCGCCTTTGGCTGGGAGGATATTATACCCATTTCCTATTCGTACCATATTCGGACAATTCTTCGACAGGTACACCATCTGAGTTGTCGGCTCATCATCGCTGCACTCCGATCTATGGATATGCATTCTCAAGCTTGGTTGAATAACAAGGAAATAAAAAATTCATGAGATAACTCAGAGACGACAACGATGTGAAACCACCGAATGTGATGTCCTAGCGTGCCGTTCTCTATATGCATGTTCACGTAATCGTCCTGATTAGGAAACTAACGACCGAACCTCGGTATCTTCTCCGCGCCGGCGCAGGAACGTTAGTATGCGTGAGCTGTGCAGCCGCGCACTGCAACGACGACCACTCTGCCCTTCTACTCTCCCTTTGCATCACACATCTTGGTCCAGAGAATAAAATCATTGTCTAGCCTCATCTTTGACACCCTACAATTCTAGAAGTAATCAGATCATCGTTCCATCTCTACCTCTCTATCTCAATTCTACATCAAAACCATCCAGCATGCCATCTTTCACCTCCATCCACCTTGCTGAGCGACCTACAGATGCCGTCATCGCTGGCAAAACTTTTACATCAAAACAGCAGGAAATCCCATCGGCAACCTCTCTCAAGGATGGAGAAGTACTATTCCAAACCCTCTACCTGTCCCTTGATCCTGCGATGCGCGGCTGGCTCAACCCTACACGGTCGTACATTCCGCCGGTGGAAATTGGCGCTGTGATGCGCGGCAGCGGAATCGGCCTGATCATCGCCAGCAAAAGCAAAAAGTTCCCTGTCGGCACGTATGCAAGCGGCATGTGTGGATGGTCTGAGTATGCTGTTCTTCACGAGAAACATGTTGAGTCTCTGGACTTGCCACAAGGCGCTGTGCCAACTGATGCGCTGGGTGTGTTGGGAATGACAGGTCTGACTGCTTACTTTGGATTACTGGAAATAGGCCAAGTCAAGGCGGGTGATTTTGTAGTCGTCAGTGGTGCAGCGGGCGCTACAGGAAGTGTCGTCGGTCAGATTGCCAAGCTCAAGGGCGCAAGAGTACTGGGTCTCGCTGGCGAAGACAGTAAAGTGGCCTGGCTCAAAGAAGAGCTCGGTTTCGATGAGGCGCTCAACTACAAGGATCCTGAGTTCCAGAAGAAGTTTCGTGCTGCGACAAAGGGACTAATTGATGTGTACTTCGACAATGTGGGCGGAGAAATTCTCGACCTCGCGCTTTCGCGGGCCAAGCCATTCTCGAGATTTGTCATGTGTGGTGCAATTTCAGAGTACAACAAGAAGAAGCCACAAGGGCCAAAGGTTAGTTGTATGCAGAGTTGGAATTAATGCGGCTGGCTAACTATGCGATTTATAGAACTACATGATGATTATTTCTATGCGTATTCGTATGCAGGGTTTCGTCGTCTTCGACTTTGCGGACAAGTACGCTGAAGCGCGCAAGCAGCTCGCACAATGGCTCTCAGAAGGCAAGCTGAAGCGCAAGGAGACTGTTGTCAAGGGTGGTATTACGAAAGCTGAGGAGGCTTTGGTTGGACTCTTCGAAGGCAGAAATACTGGTAAATGATACTCTATACTGCTATGAGTTAACAGCGGCTAATTCGAAACAGGCAAAATAATGGTACAGGTGGCAGACCTAGAGTCGGTGAAGGCAAAGCTATAGGAGATATTTGACAATGGGCTTGTCTAACATCTTTCTAGCACAGATTAGTTGGGTATCTTACTATGCTAGAGTGACCTGCAGGGAAAATTCTCGATTTTCACAAGCTTTGTAATTATGTACTATGACCGACACAACAACTATTCACTCATAGTAAAGATACTGTCTCATTTATGCAGCATATGTACTAGATTGCGAGAACGAGCACGTGAGATAGCGTTTGTTTATACAATGTTACATGCACTCACTTGGTGGTCCTAGCGTCCGCCCCTCTTACCTATGACTGTCACCCAAAGCTTTCCACCTCTTTCCCACCTATATCGCACTCGCAAGTTAACAATTACTTAAACTAGTCCTATCTGCGGTGGCAATGAGCCTATCAGAGGCCGGTGAGGACTCTGCCTCGCAGCGATGACCTTGCAGGAGCATTCGAATGTGATGAAGGAACTCCAACTAGTGTCGACTCTACTAAGCGATGAAACAAGCCAACTCGAAGACCTACCCTCTGAACTCCTCGAAAGGATCTTGCTTGATGTAATCAGCGATGTTACGCCACTAATTTCTTTGCGAATGAGCGAAGAGATGACATCCGGCCAAACTTTCGCTAGCAAATTTCTCGCCCACAGGCTGATCTCCCAGGAATCCCGTGACCACTCCTAGCGCGCACTTTCCAAAGTCATTGGCGAAACAATCTTCGATCTATGCTCACCCAAAAGCTTCGAGAATCACGCAGCCATATCTCAATGCAAGAAGTTGGTCGCTTGGCTCAACAAGCTGACCTTTTCGGCCACATATCATCATGGGGAAACATACCTAAAAATAGAGGGTAATATGTCGGTTAAATTTCCCATTTAAGATATTGTACGATTGCCACTCACTCAAGAGCTGATCCGTATGGAGAAAGATAACGCTACCTGGTACCCAAAGATCTAGCAAATGAATCCAAACGTACCCGTCGCATCCGCACTCACAGGCCCTAAATCACAATATGCTGAGCTACGACAACGTCTATCGTTTTGCCTAAAAGCCCTCACAAACCTGCATGACATTCATTATCGTATCAATGAAAAGAGCTCCCGGGACGGTATTTGCGTCTTGTTCACCAGATGCATCACGCTTGCAAAAGGGTTTCTATATCAATTGGACTCCATACTCTTCGAGCAGTAATTATATTGCTCAGCGGCTAGTACTGGAAGCCATACAAGCCGCACGTGTTCAACCTTTGACACTCGAATTACTTTCGGAAAACAACGGCGCACACAGCTTCACGATTCCCAGCATGACAGTGCCTATTACTCAAGTGACTCAATTTGTGAGAACGCTTCATTTGAGGGACTTTTGGTCACTGTATTGTGAAGAGAGGTTCGATATGACTGGAGTGGGCTTCCGGCTCGTTTCCATCACCACAGATGTATTCCCCGCATTGCAAACTTTGATCCTGGATACAGCAGTCGAAAAAACCTGCATTACCCTCAACACGAAATGTACACCGCAGTTGAATCTGCCGAACCTGAAGGAACTGATCACGATGAACACAAAGCTAGATGATGCAACGCTTATCAAATTCATCGGTCTTTTCAAAGATTCGCTCCGCACGGTAACCTCCCAGGATGTATAGATGAGCACTGGTTCTTGTAGGGCAATGTTTGAAGTGCTTCACAACCTTCATCTCGACCGTCTCGATATCACGAACCTCCCGAATGGAACTTGGATTACATATGATTCGCTCGATCTGGGTCTTACGGAAGGCCTGCTGTATGGTGCGGCAAAGGAGGCTGTTGTGAGCCCCAGCGACCTCGGGAGGATGTTGAACGGCTTGCTAGCATCTTTGCAGCACGCAAGGAGTCTAGGGATGCTGGGAGCCAGAACCCTTACGGTCTCATGCTTGGGACGTAAATTGAAGACCGATGTTCGTGTCTCGTGAGGATTGGCGATGGAGACTGAGGGTGCTATGAGTATGCGTAGGAAAAGTGGCAGACCGATTTGACCGCCTTGGGCTGGAGGGAAATGGGAGAAGCTAAAGTATACATGTACATCTCGATAAATGCAAATGGAAAGAATCAATTGAGATGATTTCGTCTTTGCGCAATGAATCATGTCTTCCAGAGTGAAATGTCTAGTCCTAATACAGCCTAGCGTGTCCTCGTGACCATTGCCATCGCCCCGCGCTAGACATGGGCAGATGGTCAATGCGCACAACTTTCAGAATGCGCATGTCTTACTCGTCCCCACTCTACAATCCTCGATCTTGACAAGGCATGTTATGCTACGAAGCCTTCTGCGAACGATAACACGAACCATGGCGTCCAACGAGCCCGCCCGCGTTCCCATCCCCAAGAATGGTGTCGACTATCGTGTCAAAGTGGTGCTTGCGCCCATGCTGCGCTCCGGTGAACTCCTCCTCACGGCTGCTCGCGCTGAAGTACGGCGCAGACTTGGTATGGGCCCGGCAAACATCGATCGCGCCATGATTGGTACCACGAGGCGAATGAACCCGCACACGTCAACTCTTGAGTTCTCACGGCTACCGACTTCGAAGATCAAGAACCCCACGCTCGATCCCGAGAATCGCGAAAGCGTCATATACCGCATACACCCTGAGCTCGAAAAGGGAAAGCTTATCTATCAGATTGGCACAGCGAATCCCGAGCTGGCGGTTCAGGCAGCCAAGATGGTGGCAGCAGATGTCGCGGGCATAGACGTCAACTCAGGCTGTCCCAAGCCATTCTCAACATCTGGTGGCATGGGTGCAGCACTTCTGAAGACGCCAGACTTACTCTGCAACATTCTGACCAGCCTGGTTGAGGAAGTAGGGAAGCCGTATGAGATTGGTATCAGTGTCAAGATTCGGATATTGGACACGCCGGAAGAAACTGCGGCTCTGGTCAAGAGACTGGTTCGCACAGGCATAACAGGTCTTACGGTGCACTGCCGAACAACGCCAATGCGACCCAGAGAGCGCGCCATCAGACACCAACTCAAGATGATTGGGGAAATATGCCGAGAAGCGGGCGTCGCATGCGTCATGAATGGCGATGTCACATCGCGCACAGAAGCGCTCAAGCTCATGGAAGAGTTCAACGTGGACGGCGCTATGATCGCAACCGAAGCAGAGAAGAACCCTAGCTGCTTCCGGCCTGACGCAGAAGGCGGACCACATGAATGGCGATCACAGTGGAAAACCGTCGTCACTGAGTACATGCGCTTCGCACTTCAAGTTGAGAACCGGTGGGGTAACACAAAGTATTTGTTGGGCCAGATGATACCTGGAAAGGAGAAGGCATACGCTCTCATGAACAAGTCAAAATGCTATTCCGACGTCATCAAGGCGTTAGGCTTGGAGGGAGTGGAAGGTTTACTGGAACAAGCCAACATTGTTGATCAGCATCTTGGCATACCGCAAACTGAGTCGCGAGCTTCAAAGAGAGCCAGAGTCAAGGAAGGAGCACTTCCTGAAAGCGACAACAACGCGCCGAGGGAGAAGCGGAAAGAGAGGGAAGACGAGCAACCCGATGCCAAGCGCATCAAGGTACCTACATCGGTTTCGGAGGTCACTGATGTGGTTCCACCTCAAGAAACATTGGTTTCAGCATTGAGTGTATGATGCTTCATTCAATAGGTCAGGCGGATCCATATAGGCGTTACAGGAACATGAGGGCATACCGGAAGCGATATCAACTGGTGGGTGTATATAGTTCAAAATCACATGATTGTAAAGTATAACACCATTACTGGCTCGATTATCACTTGTAAGCGCTCTTCACGCAATGTTCTACCGCCGTAAGAAGCAGACACCAGTCGTATCACGTGTCGAATGAAGCCTTCAATGTTGGCTCAGTTGGATCTTAACCTTGGTTCCCAACTCAACGAACATATTTACGCCACTCGTACCTACCAGTAACCCCTCCGCTGGTAGCCTGCACGCCAATATGACGCTAACGTACCCCACCATACCTAGTGATATCCGAACGCGTCTTGTTTGTTCCCCTTGATAATAATCCTCACATTTTACCCTCAATACAACAGTCTTTGTAGCAGCAACGGCGCCAAACAGTCAATTAATTGATCCCATGACACGCAGCACGAAGATGCAGAGGAAGAAGACGGCGTGGCGGACGCGTGGCGGACGCGTGAACAACGTCTCTCTGAAAGCCAGAATGACACTGAAGACGCGGCACAGAATGACATGCTGGATAACGCTGGAGACGAAAGCATGCAAGAGGTAGATAATGAAACCGAAATTTCCGATAATGATGGTGCTCGGGATGAAAGCATGCAAGAGCTACATGCTGAAGCTCAACATGCGGATGAGGATGCTGTTAATCACGGAGACGGCTTTCCGTACATTCTCAAGCTGCCCAGGGAGCTTTTAAACACAATAACGACCTACGCTATTGATAAAGAGACGCCATTTACGACATTGCGTCTTGTGAATACGTGGTTCCGGGACTGTTCGCAATCACGGTTACTCGAGGTCCTTTAAGCTAAGGTGAGTACCTTCTCAAAGGACATACAGCACGTGTTACCAAGGGTGGTCGGAACACCTCATAATCATCATGCCACAATGTAAGTCTTCTGGTCGATCTACACTGACAGTTCTGCACATATAGACCTGGGACCTCAGCAGTCCTCATGATATGCACTCCCTTGATGAGCTAAGCAAAGTTGAGGCTTTGAGCGAGGCGATCACGTCACTGCCTCTGACTACCCGCTTCGAATTGTACTACAAAGAAGAGGATGGATTCATAAGTGAGCTAGGTTTGAGTCATGCCACCAGGGCGAGAAAACAGGCATTGCACAATGGAGCAAACACCAACAGAGAGCCTAATCCAGAGACAGATGCAATTCCCGACGCACGCATAGAACGTACGTCTAGAGATACAATCAAAGAGGCAAAGAGATACTACGAAGGTACAGGAAATATTCCCAAGATTACAACAACCCTGTTCATGTACAAGGGTCTTTTATCCGACGCACTCTCGCGCTGAAAAGCAAAAGCGATCAGAGCTGAGGATGAGGCTATGTTCGGCAACATTTGGACGTTTTCCATGATGGAACACAATTTGATAGGATCCCACTACGATACAGTGACCGGATACGTCTTTGCGAAGGAGAGATTTATAACGTTCCTTTCAGAAACCCTGGGCACGTTCAGAAACTTCACCAGCGTTACATACCTGGAGTCAAGCCGAGATCCGACCCGAGTCCTTTGCTTTCCCATCGCCCTCACTGGGATTCCACCGTTTCGCAACGTCGGTTTCACAAAAAACGTTATATGATATCCTCAAAGACATGCGTACACTGCGTCTCAGCCAAGTATCGCGACGCTTCATAGCTGGCGTGACGTCCGCGACAACATCTACCGCACCAAGATACCCAAACACCACGAAGAAGTCGATTTGACAGAAGAAAACTTCCATAAACTCTGCGATTTGACAATCGACCTGACATATCACATGACGCCCTCTGATAAGATGCCTCTCACGTCCGACAACGTAGTCAAACTCGACCGTCTAACCATCCGCTACAAGTTAACCTCCGCCGCCCATCTGCTCTACGAGCCAGATTGCCTCAGCCATTTTGGCCCGTACCTCAAACATCTTGTCATTGCCAACGCGTATCGCGGCAACTGGAACCAGTTCTTCCAATCCCTCGAAAAGATCCACCCCGAGAGCCTTTCCATCGTTGTGTAGCCTGTATTCTACAACGCTGCACGCGGGGATATCCCTGGCGAGAGAGGCCTAGTTGCGTGCAGGAGCTTTTCGAGGGCACTGTGGAGAAGTGCTCGATCGAACCGGCATTGATAAAGGCGCAGGTGAAGCGGATTTGGAGGGAAGAGGACAATGCAATGGATCGTTTGTTGGAGGATCGTGAGCATGAGGGGCCGTTTGATTGGGAGGAGGATAGTAGTGATGACCTTGCTGATGAACCTACTAGTTATGGTTATGGTCATGATTCTGATTCTGATGATTGATCGTAGGGGCCTTTGTATGCTATGGTAGGAAAGGCTAAAAAAGTCGATTCAAAAACTTCTACACATCCGACTTACTTACTATACGTGGTGGTATGGTGACTGTGCCCCGCAGAGTTGTTTGACTTGCATGATTTCGCACAAGGCGTTCTTGATCGTCCCACCAATGGCCCCATAACTAACATCTCGATATCGACCGACGAGACCAACCTCCATGCGTCTTGATCAAGCCACTCGTCTCGTCTATGTAGCTGGGGGGTCCTTGTTTGAGTTTAGAAAGGTGGCAGTACGCGAGCTGAGAAGCTCAGCCCTAGACGATCGTAGGGTCTGGAGCGATCTGCGGTACTTAGCTTGAAATAGGCTCCAGTGTGGGGAGTCGAGGATATGTGATCAGGCTATGCTTTGTTTACGGGTGAGGCAGGGGTGTACAGGTATCAGGATCAAATGACGAAGGATCTACAATAGCGGGAGTTACCTAGCAGGTAGGTACGCAGGAGTAAGCAGGTACGAAGGATCTAGACACGTTGGAAACAGCTTCCCTATTCGACTTTGCAATATTCAACAAGCCTATATGCTCATTTGAAGATCAGTTCGGGCTGGAATAGACCCGAAAGTAGTAGTAGTGTAGATACATGTACATGTACACAATGGAGAGTCACGTGACAGATAACGCTCCTGATGTGGTAGACCTCTGGATTGTTTCTCTATTGACTTCTCAAAGTAAACACTTCAGCAGCAACTCAAACAACAACAAGGCTATACCTCGTGCTTGCAATCAATGCTGTGAATGTTAGTGCGATGCAAGCTGAGCAACCACGCTTTCGCCGCGAGACACGGACGTCCCTCGCACACAATCGACTACTGACCGGTCCGATCCGCCTCTCACAGCCTCTATGCGCGCGCGCCGCAATAGACACAGGCGCATCATGTATCCGAAAGCGAACCGCTGGGGATGCACGGATGACGTGGCGCTATTCCGGCCCCCATTTGATGCAGCTGAAGCTCTACGGCTGCAGAGCCGCACGCGCGCGATAAAAGCCGGACGATTATGATTTCCCTCATCATGCAGACTGAACTCTCTTTAGATACACCTACCAAGTCCTGCTGTTTCTTTACTCATCCTGCAGAGAAATAATTGATTGCTTGTCGTCGAATTTGTTGTTGTTGTTGAAATGCCACAGACGGAAATAGCGTTAAATCCGATGGGCGGCGGCGGTAGTAATTCGTTCGCAAGGGGCCCTGACGCCGAGGCTGCGAACATCAACAGAAGACCTGCTAAAGATGGCTCTTCGACACAGGTTCCGAGTTCTGATGGGCTCAGAGGTGAAGAAGGGAGACAAAATGATAACCCCATTGGGTCGTGGCTATGTGCCGAGGGTAAAACAGCTTTTGTTGAACGCGGCACAGCATCGCTAAGCTAATGTTTAACAGGCGAATATCGCAGGTACATCGAAGCGCTAAGCAAATCGAACCCTGGGCTGAAGAGCGCCGATCCAAACAACGCAAAATGGCCGTTACAGAACGGCAACGCTCACGTGGTGTTCCTTGATTCACCGGCTATAGCAACTCCCAAACCCACAAAACGGCATGCTGGGTTCACCAAAACCGAGTTCAGGAATGTAAATGATCTCGAAAAACACTTTCACGAAGCAAAGAAAGATGAGAATCACGACCGCAGACGCATCTACATTATGGAGGGCTTGGCTCCTGACTATATTGCCCAGGTCGGTGGTCACTTCTTCATGGATCCTACTTTCTTTCAAAGACAAGAGCGAACGTGTCCTTGGAGCAATGACTTCACTCCTATGAGTGATGCATTACCACAGCCAAGCTTACTGGAACCCGAGAAAGCGTTTCATTTGCAGTACTGCGAGTTGAGGACGTTCAATAAGGCGCTTGAACCAAACAAATACTACTTCTGCCAGCGGACTGGGCGGCACATTGGAATGACAGCATCACGCAAGAGAGAGAAGACTACTGTTGGTATACTGAGAAGGAAAGTGGCCTGGTGGTCGCGAAAAACTGATAATGGGGGCTGGGATGGTACGTTGCTGCTCACCCGGGCTTACCGATTTCCGTTGAGGTGGTCTAGAAAAATGTGTTGTTGCGAACATGATGGAGATGGTATGAGATTTGAATGTGGATGCTAACGTCCCATCAGTCGTCATACTCTGTGATCCTCAGCTTGTGAATCTTCAACCCACGCCTAAGCCCATAGAGGATGATCATACGACATTCACGAACTCTCCTTTCCAAGATGGTTATGTTGATTTTCTGCCGCCTGTTCCATATCATCAAATGGCGAGTATAAGACCACATCCGCATACATCGGTGCTTGTCGATATTCTCTACTACTATGAGCAACACTCGGAGCTATTTTCCTACGACGAATGGAAGTCGCCAGAAACATCTGCAGTATTTCTCAAGAAGATCGTTGCAGCACATTACCTCCAGCTGGTGGACTACATCAAAGTGATGCTGCCTTCATTAGAGCTTCGTCTTACGACTGCCTGGGTGCAAGAACAAGACCAATGGAAGAGTTTGCAGACTACATCTCGTCGCTGCGGTAATTACCGCGACGACATCGAAGACATCTTGCTCAGTCTCGGTTATCCACTCGATGACCAGATGAGCTGTTCTGCGAACAAGAGTACGGTGGGTTGGAAAGACTGCGAGAAGGACTTTCAACACGCCTACTTCCGACTCAAGATCCTCAAACAGCGTGCGGATAATCTCATGCAGTCCATGACCGGTCTAGCATCCATTGCTGGCAACCACCAGAATCTTGAAGAAGCCAAACGCGTGAAGCGACTGAACCTGCTCGCTCTGTTCTTCATCCCACTTGCATATACGAGCAGCTTGTTCAGTATGCAGGATACCTACGCGCCCAACCAGAAGCACTTCTGGGTCTACTGGGTCAGCGCTTTGGGCGTCGCTGTGTTTACGGCTGCGGTGATGTGGGGGCTGGACAAGTCTTTGGACGACGAAGCGCAGTGGACTTGGGATCTACTCCAGAAGGCCAAATTTTGGGGCAAAGATAGAGTCGATCCAAGTGCGGGCGAGAGAAACAATACGGGTCTTTTTAATCAGCGTTCTCATTGAGCATGGGCCGGTGTTTCCTCGGAGTCTGTTTGTTTTGTGTTTCGGTGCTTGGAGCAGGCGTTTTTCGGAAAAAACATCACGAGACCTAGCTTTTTCACACTTGGCTCAAATATCAGGAGCGCGGTTTTTTGGTTTCGTTGTTTCATCAAGTGAAACGCGCTGGCACTTGAGTGCCGTGAAAGCTCGTACAACTGGCATCTGAACCAAGGACTTGCATTGTTTCGAACGATCTCGGTAACAGTTCCCCTTACACATTTTTTCACACGGCTGACAGCGTCCAAGCTCGTGTTATGACCTCTCCATACCCAAGATTCAGAGAGTCTTTAGGATACTTTGGTACCAAGAAAGTGACCAAGTGGCTCTTTAATCTGTGATCTAACATGGGACAATTTTTCATTTTCCAAGCTAGCAGTTCCATCTACCCGTTCTCCAGCGTTTTTCATTTTGTATTGGTTGCAAACCCCCCTCTTCCCGCGCCCAGATCAGCACTAGCAAGCGTTCTCTCCCTGCCAAGTTTCACCTCCATTTCCACATATGCTTTCGCCTCAGTATCAAGAAAATACAGCTATCCTAAGATTGGAATCCAACTACTCATATTGAACGCCGCGTGTATGCTACACAAGTGCTTACTGGACAATACTCGTATGTTGGACGCGAGTTTGGCGTGTTTCATGGAGCGGTTGTGAGCTGGGGTCTTTGACACCATGGCGGCGCGCAGTGTTCGTTTTCGATGGAGTACATGGCTGGAAGATGAGAGGAGTAAAGCAGAGCTTGGGGTCACGGCGTGGAGTTGTGCCAGTATGTGCGAGGGGATGGCGGTACATCCGGGCGCGACCGAGATGAGACCGAGAGTTCATCTTAACGACTCCGTGGCAGATGGGTTGCGTGAACTGTCGTGACTTCCCGAGGATAGATGACAGACAAGACTAGCTCTCTGCTCTGGATGTCTGGTATGGCAAGTTTGGACGAGAGCATACTGCAAATGTTATATATGCGATTGACTTCCGCGAGAAGACGGCTAGTCCGAAGCAGACAAGACCTCAGCAACGCAAACATATCTACCACTCCACATAACCTTCCTCGGCAACCATTGAAACAAACTTTGCTGATCACTGCTAGTATGCGTGCTGTCACCACACAAAAGCGGCTTAGCCCCAGCAAGCCACATATCTGACAATGCCCGGCCCCCGGAAACCACGGGCGTTACCCCGGTAAAATGCTAGCTATGGCGGCTTAACATACGATCATATGTGCTAGCCACATATTAAAACGTTTCCGAAGCACTTTATTGCGCTGATTAGACCTGAAACGCGTATGTCATCGTTCGTTTTTTCTAAATTGGCGCGGGCTACAGACAGAGGTTGAATTGTTTATAAGGTAGTGTGAACCCGTGGATCCGATTGTCCAGGCAAACAGGCACAATCAACTTCCATTCTCTCATTCTTCCTTTTTACAATGCATCTCACCACTCTTTTCCTCAACGCCGGTCTGGCAACCGCAGCTTCTCTTCAGCCACATCTCCACCCACGCGCCGCTCAGAAGTCCGCTGTAAAATGCCCCATAATCTTCGATGGCCGCATCCCAACCAACGCCACCCTCTCGACCTTTGACAGTAGCGTCACCTCACCCTTCAACACCGGTGCCGTAAAGGGCGAAAACCGGACCTGGTCCTCCATCCTACTTCTACCAGAAACATGCACCCCCTCTCGCTTCGACGTGCCCAAAGTCACCAAACCCTTTGAAGTAACGATCGACGACGGTTCGATCTTCCGTGCAGGCGAAAAACTACAAGTTGGTTTCCGCCGCGCGGGTCTGATATTCAAGGACGACAAGAACGACGCGGGAGCCGATCAGGCCGATAAAGGCGTTGTCACATTCCACTGGAGTATCAAGCAAGATGAGCAGCGCCCGCTGAACCTGAGCCACGAGTACATGAACGTGTGGCACGAGAAGGCTGATTTCAGCGGCAACCAATTCATGTTTGTCGGGGGTGTGGTGCTCAGTGGTGATGGTGGCACGGGCAAGGATACCAAGAAGGAGAGGGAGGTGTGGAAGATTCAGAACATCAAGAATGAGTTTGTGTTTCAGACGAAGATGCTGTTTGGAAAATGGCAGAACTTTGCGGTGCAGTTGGATTACCCGAAGAAGTAAGTTTGATGATTGAGGTATATCATGAGGGATGGTTTGCTAACTTTTCTTTCTAGCACGATGAAGGTCTTCTACTCGGCTGGGACAGATCCACTTAGGCCAGTCACTGGAGCTACTCCGAATAACAACACGGGTGGCGGTCAGATGCAGCTGGGTATCGCGAAGAAGCCGACAGAGACCAAGACGGTGGTATTCGATGGTTTCCAGGAACACATCAAGTTGAGGGGTGAGGGACAGATCTATGGTGGTGTGTTTGTGGAGGACAGCACAAATGGATGCGTCAGTCTATGAGTGCAACATGGAGTGACGTAGTCAAAATTGGAACTTTGGAGAAGACGCTTTACACTGTACATACAATTTATTCTTCTAAACACTACTCGCACACTAGTGTATGATTGGTGATGTAGTGTGCACATGTATTGCTGGCTTACAGATCTAGGCCTCATTCAAGCCACTCCCGGCTCGTCGGGGTCCTTTTCCGTGCCGCATACTTAGACCTCGACTTCATCACGTGTACATAATACCAGACGTTACAGATTTGGAATAGTATCAGACACCACAGGTGGAGACGAGATGATTGAGATGCAAGGCTGGTGTCGACAAAAGACGGAAGGCATTCCATCATCAAGCTAGTGGCGATTGGTCATCGGAAGCTGCACGGCCCCACCACCCAGTGCTTGGTCATGTTCGACAAAGCATCATCAATTCCCGCCAAGCCTCTCCAAACGTTCTTTGCTTGCTAAATCATTAAGTAACCAGCCAAGTTCACGATGTCAGCCACACCAAATCCCGAAACCAAGCTCGAACATTCTCGTCAAATCGGTTGCGGCCGGTATAAAGCGCGCCTTCCGCCTTCATGTATACGTTTTCGTTCATCTTCATTCTCATCAACGCAATCGCATTTGCTGGCTACCACAACGAGTATATGCTATCGAAACTTGGACAATCACTCAAACACTTGACTTCCCTCGCAAACTTTACGAAAGTATCCTACAACACCACCGCCGATATGTCGACCATGTTTCGCGGCCTGCCCGTTATTCCAGATGAGACCTTTACCACCGACGCGCCGCGCAAGATCGCCAAGTCGTTCCTCGCGGTCGAGCAATCCGAAGGTGCGGGCGCAAAAGTGAGGAGGAGCGTGGGTACGCCCAAGCTGCGCAACTTCTCGCCATTCCTCATGCTCGACCACTTCGCCATCCCTCCCGGCGCTGGCTTCCCAGATCACCCCCACCGCGGTCAAGAAACCATCACGTACCTCCTCTCCGGTGCGGTCGACCACGAAGACTTTGCAGGCAACAAGGGAACAATCGAGCAGGGCGATTTACAATTCATGACGGCTGGTCGCGGCATCGTGCACGCCGAGATGCCGCGCCAAAACGAGGATGGTGCGCCCAACGTTGGCATGCAACTCTGGGTGGACTTGCCCAAGGAGCTCAAGTCATGCGAACCGCGATACCGAGACCTACGCGCCAAGGAGATACCAGAAGCAACAACGGATGACGGCAAGGTGCACGTCAAGGTCATCAGCGGACAGGCATATGGCATCGAGAGTCTAAAGGAGCTGGCATACACACCCGTCTGGCTGCTCGACTTCACGGTCAAGCCCGGCGGCAAGGTCAAGCAGCCGCTTCCCAGAGGCTGGAACGCTTTTGCCTATCTCCTCAATGGCACCACCATCTTCTCCTCAGACGGCGTATCACGACCGGTCGAACAATACCACAATGTCGTCTTTGAGAGCAATGGCGACAGCATCGAAGCGTCGGTACCGGAGGATGCCGAGAAGGAGTCAAGATTCATTTTGGTTGCTGGTCTACCCCTTGACCAGCCCATTGTACAGTATGGACCTTTTGTCGTTACTTCAAGAGACGAGGTTATGCAGGCCATGATGGATTACCAGACCCACTCGAACGGGTTCGAGCGGGCGAACAACTGGGAGAGTGAGATTGGAAAGAGCATGGTACATTGATAAGACTTTTTGTTGTCGAAAAACTTTGTATATATTATTCGGTGCGTGTGTTTTGAGCCTAGACTTTTCTTTCCTATCAACAGTATACAATACCTGAATTATCATACCCTTTACTCTGTTTAGTACCATGCCAATATCGGAAGTGAATTCAATTAGGTTCACCACGCGGTAGTTGGCCATGGCAAAAGGATGTTGCAGGAAGCCAGCTCGATATGAGGGTAGCATATGTCCCCTTTTAAAACAGTTAGACTATCACGAGTTATCTGATTGCTTTCCTTCCAGTCAAGTTGTAGTTGTCTGACCAATCACAGTCTGGCACCAAGAGTGGGGGTGAAAGGACCTAGAGATCGCGGCCTACCCCACCACCGCCATCTTCGATGCTGTTGTGCCGCTATCGATAGCGGGATGTGTTTGAGGGGTAGTTGCCGGGATTAGAGGTGTAGACGCCGCAAGTGACGATGGGGGAGATATAACTACATGTGGTGTGCTGGAACAGCCTTCCATAATCTACAAACCAGCCTTCAATGATCTTCCATTCTCAGCCCATTCGCAAGCCACTTTCTATATCGTCATCTAGAACAAACGCGCCAGCTTAATATAGTCTATCAAAATGCCAGGCGCCGGCGACGCACCACCCATTCTCGATTTTTCAAGTACGTATAGTCACTATTGACATGTCACGTTGTTCATGACATCTGCTGACTTCCCGTCTGCCAGAATTCTACCATAGCGATACTGCATCAAGAAGCAAGCTCGTGGAGGAGGTGAAGAATTGTTGTTTACACAATGGCTTCTTCCAAATCACAGGGCACAAAGTGCCAGTCGAGTTGCAAAAGAAGATGATGGATTGGAACAAGAAGTTTTTCAATCTGCCGTTAGAAGAGAAGAATAAAGTGAACAAAGGTGCGCTAAACAACCCGCTTATCAGCAACAACGTCCTAACATTTCTATAGACACAACCAACACATGGAACCGAGGCTACGAGCTCATGAAGTCTCAGATCCTCGAAGAAGGCACCTCCCCCGAACTAAAAGAAGGCTTCTACATCGGCGACGAAATCTCAACATCACACCCCTACTTCGTCAATAAGAAGCTCAACTCAGGACCAAACATGTGGCCTTCACCCTCCTCTCTCCCCGACGTAGACGACTTCAAAGCCATAGCGCTTGAATACTATAGCCAAGTCGTACAGCTCGCGAAAGATATCCTAAAAGTACTAGCACTCACCCTCGACCTCCCAGAAGACTACTTCGACGAATACGCCAGCGGCGCCGTAGCAACAATGCGCCTCCTGCACTACCCGTCGCAGCCCCCTGATAGCCCCGCTAAGCTCACTCGCGGCATCGGCGCGCACACAGACTTCGGCTGCATTACCATCCTCCTGCAAGACACCGTCTCCGGCCTGCAGGTCTACGATTACACGACCAAAGAGTGGCTGGACGTGACGCCCACGCCAGGCGCCTTTGTCGTGAACCTCGGGAACCTGATGATGCGGTGGAGCAACGACCGGTACATATCCAATTTACATCGTGTTATCAATGTTAGTGGGGAGGAGAGGTATAGTATTCCCGTGTTCTTTTCTGGAAATCCGGACTATGTGGTTGAGTGTTTGCCGAATTGTAAGGCGGAGGGGGAACAGGCGAAGTGGAAGCCGATTACGGTGGAGCAGGCGATTAAGGAGGGATACGCAGACTCTTATGGGAGGGCGGAGAGGTGGAAGAGGGAAGAGGAGGAGAGGAAGAAGGGGGAGGTGTTGGTAAGGAGTGAGGAGGTTGCTGTTGCTTAGGTGGGTGGTGACTTTTGAGTTTCATATCATGCATTCGAGTCCATGTATTGAGTATGGCTTAGGTAGTAAGATCAGATATCACAGTCTTTCGATCAGTCCAATCGCTTATCATTAGGCCATCCACGGCCAATTTTGGCCGGCCTCGCTTGCCAACGCCCAATTCAGTAACTACATCTACTCAGCCACTTCCCACAACGCATCCATACCTTCTAGAACAGCTCACTCGCTCTGTAATCTAGTAGCGCAACACACATATCTTAGCACCAATGTCATCGACCCAAGGCCCGAAAAGCTTTCCCATCTTGGCTAGAGCGATGTAGAGGATGTGGTAGACACGACATTACTGGGCTGGTAGTATACTTTAGACTGCACAGCAAGGCGTAAACCGCATTTTGGGGGACTGAGATAGGGCTAAATGTAGAACAAGGTGCATGGAAGCATCATTGATGGGATCTTCTGGGATCTTCTGGGATCTTCTGGGATGCATGGCGTTGTGGCTGTATCTCGTGGGGGTTGAGAGAAGGAGAGTCATCTTTTGAGAGTCATTGCTGCAATGTCAAGGCGTAGGACGAGGTATCGCGTCGGGCGAAGGTAAAATGTTGCTGACATCTTACAAGGCGTTAACGGTGGAAGAATATGACTTAGACCACATTAAGAACGAAAGCTTCGCCCCTTCAAAAATTGTCAGTCAACAAACCCTCCAAAATGCAAGCCCATCACCTCACTCACAAGAGCCTTCCCAAACCTCCATCCCTGACACACCCCGACTACCTCCGCCCCTCACTCTGTCTACGTACCACCGCACCGACCACCCCTGGAAAGCACATCCTCATAACAAACGCATCCCACGCCCCCGGCCCCTCCATTGCCCTCTCCTTCGCCCGAGCCGGCGCCACAGCAATTACACTCAGCAACCCCACCGCCAGCTCCCTCACCCCCCTAGCTGCCGCCCTCAAACTTATCAACCCCATCTGTAAAATTCTCACCATAGCTTGCGACACAACACGCTCCTCGTCCGTAGTACGCCTCTTCTCCGCCGCCAAAGCCGCATTTGGGACTTTGGACATTGTCGTCGCCAACGTGGGAGCTGCGCATCTGAGCAGCAAGGATGGACAGGAGGGCGGAGACGGGAACGATGAGTGGTGGGATGATATGACTACGAATTTTAGAAGCACACATCTACCTGCGCATCAGTATATACGGTCTTTTGGGGCGGAGGGGATGGGAACGTTTATTTCGATTACAGGGGGTAGGAAGAAGGGGTGTGAATCGGGGGGTATGACATGGGATGTTGTGAAGGGGATGGATGGGAGGTTAGTGGAGTTTCTGCATAGGGAATATCCTGGATTGAAGGCTTTTTCTGTTGGCACTAGGGGTCTGGGGATGCAGAGAGTCGAGGAAGGAAATGAGAAGTACATGCGAGATGATGAGGAGTTGGTGGGCGAGTTTTGTGTTTGGTTGGGGACTGGGAGGGCGGATCGGTTGAGTGGGGGCTGTGTAGATGTAACGTGGGATGTGGAGGAGTTAGAGAGGCAGGGGACGGGAGTTCTAGAAAACAACTGCTGGAGTTGAAGAAGGGTGAGAGGTGGCGCTAAGAATCTACGACATAAGAATACTTGAATAGTCGCCAAGTAAAGAGGTAGATAGGTAGATATTTTCTACATATGAATATGAATTCAAAGGAACCAGCTTTTTTGTTTTCTCTTCGCCCAAGCCAAAACAGGAAGCTGAAGCTGAAGCCTTCTTGATCCCACCCACATATGCCGGCCCAACCTCGGAGCCGTATCGTACGTATGTCAAAAGCGGGGATATGTCACCTACAGAAGGTTAAGTACTCACAATCGTATATACAGACCCCGCAAGTCTCCGCTCTATCTCCTCCCAAGATGCCATGCGCCGCTTTTCCTGGGTCCACAGCGTACCCTTCACACCATGTGTCCAGATCCAGTTGTCGCATAACACGACATCATCGTCGTCGCCATAGAAGCTGACAGGCACATCAGCTTCCCAGATTCGCACAGTATCATCATCCTTCCAATTCCGGGTTCCAGGAGGTGTCTTGTGATCTGAGTTGACGTCGACCAGAACAACGTCCAGGCTCGTCCCCTTGTATGACTTAAAAACGGTATCTATATGTTCGGCTTTGAGTCTTGGAGGGCGCATCAACACAAACGTTCGCAGTGATGACATTTGAAAAGCAGAAATCAACTTCCAAATCCCTCAGGCTTTGCGTTGTAACAGCGAGTCGCTTTTAAGTTGGGTGGAGGATATCGAAAATATTCC